ACCAAAAAAGAAAACAAGGCACTAGACTATATTGGGTAATCAAGGAGAGATTCCGTGGGGGCGCGCCGAGGGAGGAGAATGGAGACATATGTCACATCTAACGCCCGCTTTTTGCAAGGAATTCATAATTCCGTGGAGGGTGTGAGGTCCGGCAGGGGAAAAAGAGTGGGTTCTCAAGGGGGCGGGGAAAGGGGGGGTTGCCGTCCAGGGGAAGTTTGAACTTTTACGGCAATGTGCGATAAGGAAGGGAATCTGATGGGCTATGAAGAAACAAGAACGAGGACGAGGACGAGGAGGAGGAGGAGGAGGAGGAGGAGGAAAGAGAAGAAGGAACGGGAAGGCGGGGGGATGCGTTCAAGCGAGACGAGAACTGACAAGGCACTGGAGTTTTTCTTTTCGTTGCGTGTGTGTGCACATGCAACTAGCCACTAGTTTCCCCGTGAAGACATCTTCATGCTCCACAGGATGATTGATGGGTGGGTGTCGAGGGATGATTGGTTGACCCACCACATCGTCTTGGTCCCTTTCTCATTTGGCCCTATCCAATGCATTGTCGTCTATGTCAAGTGACCTGGCATGGCGTGAGGACTCAGAAGCGCAGTGACGTCTTCCTGATCGAGTAGGCTATCATGTTTTGTGATGGCGATGACCAGCTCTCGTCGTACCACTTACTGTTGCTCCTGCTGCTGCTGCTGCTGTTGCTGCCCATATCAGCCATCTCCTTTGTCTCATGATGCCAAGGCTTCGTTCCTGCGATAGGACCGTTGCAATCAAGTTCAAGGCTCCCCCATAATAATAACTTGATTCTCCCGGTCAGCCTGCCACTTGTTGACTGCTATCTCCTTCGGTACCCTCGGCCTGCGGTGCGATAAATATCCTCGCTTCATGGATCACTTTCGACAGTATTCAGGAGTTCCTCCGACCCAAAAAGCAGGTCGCTGTACACACGAGTAGGAGAACAATGATGGGCCAGACCTCGCCCAGTCCCAACGTTCCATGATGGTCTAGTGCTTCGGACACGGGAACGGCCAGTCTTTTGGGAGATCGGAGGGAGGGCCGAGGGACCTCTTCTTTCAAAAGTGCCAAAAGGAGCAACGAATACACACGCACGCACACACACCCTCTCTCGCTTCAGCACGTACAACTATTAGGGTGTCAATAGTTCTTAAGAATGCAACACCTTGCCACCTCTCAACCATTCTCAGTCAATTTTTGGAAACAGCTTATATCTAGAATTGAACCAGAAAAATTGCCAGCAGCCCTTCTCAGAAATCTGGGGTGTGGAGCGGGTCGGCAGTCGGCCGTTGTGAAGCCGACCTTTCTCTTCGAGTTCAGTTTCAGCTTTGCGCCTTGGCCGACCTTCCTAACTTGTCCAAAAACCTGCTCCTGCCCGTCATTGCGCCTTGCATTTCCAAGGGAGTGCGCCAGCGGCGGCAGAGAGGAGGAGAAAAAAGTAAAGTAAAAAACAGGCCATGCGAAATCAATAAAATTGTTGAATGAACCCCGTAGGCGACGCTCCGACGGCAAAAGATTGTTGTTATGGAACGAGGCGGATTAATTAATTCGTATCGTTATTATTATTATCTGGAAACGGCACAAATTGGTTTGGTTTAGAGTTATGTTATGTATAATTGATCTCTGTTATGAACGCCCTAACTCAAAACGGTCGCATCGCCGACTCCCTGATAAGAGACGAGCAGGAAGAGGAAGACAGGAGAAGGGGGGGGGGGCCAATAGGAACAAGAGTAAGAGGGGCTAATGAAGAGATTGCTTTCTCAAAGATACGGAACCCTAGAGGATAATGAATTCCTCAACAAAAAAAGGACCAGCAAACATATTTTTCCTTGTGTTTAAAAAAAAAAAAAAAAAGAGAACGAGTCGTGATTTAGTCTTCTATTTGAACAGCCAAGGCTGAACATGAACTACAGCTTGCGGCTCGGCGCTGGGATGGCCTCCGAGTCGATCTCAGATCACCTGAGCACGACATGGACCCTGTGGCGATCCCCCAGGAATCGCGCCCAGGCCCTGATCTACCGCTAACGAGGATCTGCCGGCACTGGCACATGCAAATCACCGGGACTGTCAAAAAGGGGTTTAGAGGGGGGCAACCCACCCCTCCCGCCCCTCTTCCCTGGAGGGATTTGTGTACCGAGGAAGCGAGGGCCTATAAGTTGATAATATAGCATATAACGCCACATGTGAGAAATTGCAAGGCTGCGGTGGGGTTTTGTACCAAGAGAGACCACAGCTTAATTGAAATGGCCCAACAGAATAGAGACAAGAGAAGAAAGAACAAGGGGAGCAAGCGGGAAACGACGGCATAATTCTTTATTTTCACATGAATTGCGGATGACGGCCGTTTAATAGAGGGGAAAGGCAGGACCTCGAATTCGTCATCAAGCTGCGCGTCACCCTGGGCCGGTGGACACTTGCACGACAAGACAAACCGTGCGCATACGTCCCATATGGAAGGAAGGCACCGGAGTTTGGGCCAGAGCCACAAAGCATGGCCAAAGATGGCAGCCAAGCTGGCTCTTTGACCACGAGCGGGCACTGTGGTCCGGGCAGAGTCCTCGTCATCTCGCATGCCGCTACACGAAGGCATACGCGTTGCTTTACGACGGCTTGCAAAGGAGACGAGATGCGCTGTAAGAGTTTAAAATTAAGCTTGAATGAGGGTATTCAAATAGAGTACAGCCTGTCAAATGAATTCTTGATTCAGGAGAGTTGTTGTTATTATTGCTTGAGAGACCTCGTGTCGATCTTGTTTGAATGCTCTGCTCTAGATGTTCTCAAGAAATATCATTCATTTCCAAGGACATGACTTTGCAAAATTTACTTTGCGAATTTTACCCATCACCCCCTTTCCGTCCTTCTATCTCTCTCTCTCTCTCCTCCATTCCGTCCAAGTTCTCATCACCAGGAGTCCACTTCACACGATTGAAGTACGATTTGTTGTGAAGGGTCTTTCTTTGTTTCGTTTGTCAACTGCAGGATTATTTTGTCTTCACTTGTGAGAAAGAACGGATGATGAGGACACTTGATGGTTTATCTTTTTTCTTTTCTTTTTCAGAAACTCCACTACAGCACTATTTGTTATTCAACTTGGAAAGAGGGCACACCCGAAATACTCCAAAACAAGCAAGCGCAGAATTCCAACCAGCCCTCGCACAATCAACAACACACCATCACCTTAGCCCACCACCAGAACTCGGTCTTAGCCCCAATTCCACATTCATTGATTGGACAATCGCACATTGGACACATTTCCACACGAGATAACGCAAAAAAGGTAGTTGCAGCCAAGAAATCAGTTTATTGCCACCATACTCATTTTGCGCCGTATCGGTCTGAACAAGGTATATCGAAACAAAACAAAAAAAGCCTCTCCTTCTCTCAAGAAATCATCACAGCAAGCCACCCAGGTTTGGTTTGTTTGAATAACAAAAAACAAAAAAAAACAAAAAAAAAAAAAGTGAAACACAGACAACCACCCCTGAAACAACGCCCATGAACCTCCTTAACGTTTGTTCATCCGTTCAAGGTACATACATCTTTCATGTGTCATAGAGACCCGAGTTATTTCTCTCCGTCTCAGACAACAACAATAACAACAACAAAGATAGAACAAGAGGGTTCATATATACATATATATATATATATGTGTGTGTGTGTGTGTGTGTAGAGAAACAAAAGACTGCATCACCCAATGTTCAAGACTTGAGCGACGCAATGGTCCTGCTGAGCTCACACTTGAGCCAGGTGCCCAGGGCGGAATAGATATCGTTCACCTCGCCGGTGGCGAGCTCATCCCTGCCGTGGATGCTGAGGAGCTCGATGAGGTTCCCGGCCTTCTTGATCTCAGAGAGGAGCAGCTGCTTCTGCAGGGCCTGCTGGGCGGACTCGTCGTCGACGCTGAAGGCCCCGACGGAGAACTGCATCGGGGTGACGACGAACTGGCTGGCCTGGTGGCCTGTGGAGGAGACGAGGACAGGCGAGCCAGGCTGGACAAAGGCCATGGACGGGCTGGAGGTGGCGCTCAGGGGTGGGGTGGTCTGCTGGTGGTGGTGCTGGTGGTGGTGGTGGAGGTTATGGCCGACGCCGCCGAGGGAGGCGAAGTAGTCCCAGGGGGTGGTGGGTTTTGTGCAGCCGGCGGCGAGCTGGTACCACATGAGGATCTTGGAGGTGATGGAGGCATACAGCATGGCCATGTGGGGGGACTTTGAGCACGAGCACTTGAGGAGCTGGTGCATGTTGTGCACGGCCTGCTTGTTCCGGTTGAGCACCTTGTCCATCGTCTGGACCAGGGGCTCGCCCTTGGCCAGGGACAGGCCACCCTCCGGGCGGGTGCTGAGGGTCTCGAGGGTGGCGTAGGCCAGCCTGTGGCAGTTGTGAGGGTCTGCCGTGGTCTGTGTCGCAGCCGCAGCCATCAGGTTGGCATCTGGCAGGCCGTGGTAGGCGTCGAGAGAGGAGGCGCGGGAGGAGGAGGAGAGCGAGGGGGTGGCCGACTCGACGTCTGAGCTCGAGGGCGGCGTGTGCATCAGCTCGTCGGGGTGCACCCACTCGGCAAAGCTCTGGAAGTCGGACGAGGGGAATGTCAGGTCGAGCGGGTCGACGGTGCCTCGTGGATCCGGCCCCATGGTGGCGGCTGTGGGGCTGTCCGAGAAGGAGAAGGGGTCCTCAAAGGTGTCCATGGTGGTTGGAGACCGGAGGAAGAGGTCGTGGTGGCCTGGGTAGACGCTGGTCATGGCCATGAGGCTGTCCTCGAGCCCAAAGTTGCTGGACACGGGCGTGGGCTCGTACTTGATTGGTCTTGGCGGCCCAGGGAGGTGGCGGAAGTCAGGGCAGCAGGACATGTTGGTATTGCTGGTATTGTTGTGGCTGTGGCTTTGCTGCTGCTGCTGCTGCTGCTGTGCCGTTCCTTGGGCCAATGGTCGAGGCATTGTCTCGGCAGCGATGCTTGTGTCGACGGGAGGCTTCTTTCGTGGCGCCTTTCCGAATTTTCTCGACAGTCCGTACACGCAGTTGAGGCCACCCGCAACACACCGGCCGCAGCGAGGCTGGGTCTTGTCACAGCGCACCTTGGCGGCACCGCAGGCATCGCACGAGGAACGGAGCTTGGGTGGGCGCCGTGGTGTGCCCCTTGCGTTTGTCGCAGGCTGCTGGACAGTGGGCGTATGGCTGAGAGATGGGGCCATTGTGACAGGTGGTGGCGTTGTTGATGAGGATGAAAAAGCACCAGGGGATGTGGGCAAGGGCATGACAACTGAGAAGGATGATCTCTAAAAGAAGAAGAGAAGGAGGGGAGGGGGGAGAATGTTATATGTTTGTCGAGTGATGGTAGTGGTGGTGGTGGTGGTGGTGGTGTTGTTGTTGTTATGATTGTCTCGTGAGAAGAGAATCAATATTCCTGATGAAAGGAAAGAGGAATATATCTGGAGATCGTTTTCTTTTCGAAGTGATCGAGAGAGACGACGGCTGGCTGGATACTTGTATCACTTCAAGTGTCATGCAACAAGATGGAAAAGGGAAACCTGAGAGCGTCTTCGGCCGAAGATCTCCTCCTATGGCACGGAGCTTCCTCTCGAGAAGGGGAAGTGGACGGGTTGCAGTGCAAGGGGCTGAGAGTAAGTTACCCCACGCGATGGTGGCCACCCACACCCACGTTCGTCCACCATGGCATGCATGAGCTGTCACTTTCGTTCTGGAGACAAACCCAGAGTGGACTGGACCGGACTGGACTGGATTTGGTCCTCTCGGGCCGGAGTCAAGAGAAAAGAGAGAGAAAGAGAGAGAGAGAGAGAGAGAGGGATAGATGTCACTCGACCTGAGTGTGGAGTTGTACTTTGGACGACTCAACTGCGCACAGGGGAGGGGGAGGAAAAGAAAGTGGGAAGGGTGGTGGGGGGGAAAGGGGGGTCTTCTCCAGGTGAAAAATGTCTATACAGTATTATAGGTACACTAATACCATATCGTGTGCACCACCCAAAGTCCACAACCTATATGTCGGGTCTGAGTTCATCCAAGGACCTTTCTAGGTTACACGTGCAGATGAGGCGTGGGCGTGGACCCTTGGTGCACTCGAACCTGCCCCGTGAGGACTGTTCCGGCGATGTTGTGCAGCGTGGTGGATGTGTGGATGGTAAGCCAGCCGGAGGAGGAAGGGGTTGGATGTTCACCTCGAGGCGTGGAGCCATAACGTCCTTCCCAGACCAGTTACAGGAGGCAAAAGTAGAACGAACCATGATTAGCCTGGGCCCTCCCTCTTTGTCTTCTCTGCCTTCTCCCTCTCGCGCTCTCTCCCTCGAGAAGATGATCAGGTTACATCCAAGCCTCACCTACAAACCCCGGCTGAGTGTCAGTTTGTTCTTACAGTAGTTACACGCAGAGGCCCGACTGTGTCAGCCAAAAGAACGAGAAGGAGGGGGGGGGGGGAGGAGGGGAGGAGGGGAAGAGGGCAAGTGAGGGTACTCCACGCCCCGAGGGAAGGTGGATAAAGTTGCCACGAGCATGTCGGTATCTGCCCATGTGGGTGTGTAACTTTCGCGTTCCTGCTGGCAGCGTTCTCGCTGCCGCGGGAAGGACATTGCGGCCTGGCACGCGGTAAGGTGGATGTCGGGGCGGGTTGAGGACTCCAGCCCAAGCGCAGCTCGTGCTGGACATCGACTGGAGCCCATTTTCGTCCCACGGTAGCAGCCGTTGTGGCTCGCTATCCCCCACGGGCGCTGGTCTCTTCCCTCTTCTGGGTTAAACAGAGCAGTGGCATGGTGTTGTGTGTGTCGCGCGCTCGTCCTTCCATCATAGCCTGCAGGGGGGTAAAAAAAAAAGAGAGAGAAAAAAAAATAAGAACAGGAGGAGGCGAAGGGCGATCAGGTTTTTCTGTGGCTCGAGGATAATTTTCCCCCCTTTCTGAACTGGCCTGTGAAAATGCCTTACTATTTTTGTTTTGTTCTACAAATAAACTTGATAAGAGAGCCGCAAATACAAAAAATGTGTTCAGGGTTCAATGTGTCCTTCAAAGGAAAAGGGTTGTCGTTGGGAGCTGGACAAGGAGAGACGACATGAATAGACAGGGTGGGTGGATAGCACAGTCGTTGAGTGTGTAAGGGTTTGGACATCCCGCGTTCGGACGGAGTGGAAAGTGGAAATGCAACTTACTATATTCTACTATACTCCAGGTTCTTACCCCCTGCCTGCATATAAGACGGCCTGCAAGATCCAATCGCTTTCGAACGGGTCCACTTTGTTGGACCTCTGTCCGTTATCTGCCCTTCGGAACAGACTGCACTTCAAGGCAGGAGGAAATCAGCCAATCAACGACGACGGCGACATGCTCCTCCGTCTCTCGAGAACAAGAAAGAGAGAAAAATAAGGCATACTATGATTGACGATGTTCCTGTCTGGCCCGATTTCGCACACCTGCCACTTGTATCTTGTTTCTGCTCGTTATATGATTATCATCACTATCATCCAGTGTAATGTGCTGTGCGCCATAACTCGGGCGTCTGACGGCGGGGAGGGGCAAAAATGCAGTGGGAAATCCTCATTGTCACGACGCTGCACGGAAATGAATATTGAACTATGTAAAAAAGATACATAGTTAGGTACATGAGTAAATAGAGACGGATGTGACCCTGGCAGGTTATCAGCACCTGGGGCCATGTCGCGTGTGGACATGACAAACCAGCTCGCGCCTCAGGAGGGATGCTACGCTGCGGCCCAGCCTGGTACTGCAAGTTACAGCGAGCGCCTACCCAGCCAGCTGCCGAAGAGGAGAGAGGGGGGGGGGGGGGGTGGAAAGGGCCTGGATCGCTGACAATTCGGTACTTGGTCACTCATGCCTGTCTGTCTGTCATCTTTCTTAAAATTGCTTGGGCTGATTCCGAACAGCCCCCCACCTGCGCTCCGATACCCGATTGCGGGTTTGTTGTAGCTGGAGAGGAATATCAGGAAAGTCACCTTATGATTACACTAAACTTCGAAAACAGATCATAGCACAATAAGCCAAGAGTGTGCTACCACCTGATGACGACCAGTGCCATCCATTAGAGGGGGGAGAGAGATGGACTAGGTCCGTGTTCTCTCCGAAAGTATGTCCAGCGTGTCTTCATAAAAGCAGTATCATGGTATCCACTGCTCCACTGATCCACCCAGAACACCCACATAGGCTCGGCTCTGTATGTAGTAAGCGCCCCTTGAGTATTTTCAAAGGTATCCTTGTGGTGCTGCGTCGCCCCCCAAAAAATGAGCAACGACATAATTCTCGTTGAGGTATCAAGCATGGGTAGTATAATCCTTGCTGCCGATCTCTACATGCCAGGTACCATAGTACATGCAGAAACCCCCCCCCCTCTGGCAGACCCCCAATCTATTTAGCCCATCCTGGCTTCCACCTGCAGCTGCTCGACGTGCATGTGAGCTAGATCCTTGAAGGGAAGCTGACAGCCTCAACACCCCGTCGGCCAGTGCAGAATAGGTAAGAGACAAAACATAGTAGTGCCGGTGGCAGGACCCGTCAGCCCGAGTTCTTGAGACCAGCCCCCCCCTTCTCCTTCTCCCACTTTCTCTCTTCCTCTCTTTCACTGTCAGTGCCTCCGTCACTCGGCGCCTCGAGGCCGTCAGGTGAGAGGAGATGAGGACAGGGGGGTGGGAGGCGGGGGGGGGACGACATGTATCCTGCAGTTGATCCTAGGACGCTACACACCTCTCAGCGCTCCTCCTCAACGCCGATCATCGACTCTGCATTGTTGTCAGCTCGACCCTGAGGGCGCCCAGCCGCACGTTCTGGAAACAATCAGGCATCAACACGGGCTGAGACCTGAGCCCCAGCATTCATTTGATATGTATGATCTCCTACCACGCCCTTCTGCTTCGTTCTCCCAGCCCTGTCCCCTTCTCTCCTCCAAAACCAGCTGACATGGCCTGGGTCCAGCAGCCTCTGAAACTCCTTCACCCGAAACGCACCTTGTCTCTTTCTGGACAAGGTTGTCCCCTCCGTCCACCATAATATCGCTTCTTCCTCGTTGGAGCGAAACGGCGGACTTTTATCGTGGCGGGAAAAGACTGCCGACCATCGGGATGTGGCTCGTCCGATATCTGTACAAGCCCGTAACAAATGTCTGAAGCATGTCAGACGGTCTTTTTCCCTGGCAGAGATAGGTACTATACGGGTATACCATAGCACACTTATTCCTATGAGCCATGATCTCCGTTGCAGATAACCTTACATGGGTTCTCCACAAATACATAGGGCCCGCATTTTCTGTCTACAACCTCCGCCGTGACGCCGTTACTCCCTGATAGTATAGCGAGAAGTAGCGGGCGATCAGCCGCGATTGGCTCCTCTGGGCACTGGGAAGAAGCCCAGTATTTTATCTAACCAGTTGACGTCAGATTCCTCTCCATAAGCACGGTACAGGATGATGGGCAAATACCGGAGCTTCATCAGTTTTCATTTTTCTTTCCTTACTTTTTTCTCTTCTTTGGCCCAGTCTAGTGTGGCTCCCGTTTCTTTTTTGTTTAATAGGAATAAATGAAAAAAAGAAGAAGGAGAAGGAGGAGAAAAGCCCCACAGTCCATAATTGTCTTCAGATGCAACACGTTGAGTGGAACACGTTGTCAACGAACGACGGCTATCAACCGGCCGATTCGGTCTATACTAGTGCCCCCGGGCTTCGAAGCTGAGGAAAGGCCCCGACGTCTGATACGTGAGGGCTTCAACCACCTGCCCACCTGGTTTTAACTGGGCTCATGAGCCCGGGACGTCATGGCATTCAGGCAGGGCAGTTGCCCAGCTCGCCTCATGGCTTCTCCCAGTGCGGTTCGCGCCGCGAAAGGGGGCGGATAAGGTGGATTCACATTTCCCGTCCGTCATCGGCCACGTGGGCGTTCGTTGTTCCTGACACTCCATCATCTCCAGCGAGCTGAGACCTCTGCACTTCCTCTTGGGGAGCATGCGTCGGAGTTTCTCTAGACTCCAAAGCCCGCCACCATGTTCGGTGTCCTATAGTGTGGCATGTTCGATATAGTTCATGAGAAGTCTCTTCAGGTATCAGGCCACTCGTAATCACAATCACAACTGACCACTTGAAATCACCTGCATAGCAGTTCTATCCTCATTGTAACACCATTATCAATCTTGCTATGCGTTAGGAAAGCCTCAGAAACTTGGCAGCGTGCAAGAATATTGTCACTGAATGTACGTCATGATCAGGTTCGATATTCAGAACGGAGAATCAATTCTCAATGGAGTGTTGTCCATATCTTTCTCCGCGGATCTTTCCATACGACATAGTAAAGCTGCAACGCCTCCAGGGGGAACGGGTCCCGCCAACCTTGGAAGCTACTTGAATGGCCAGAACTATTGAAGCTGGATGCACGCACGGCGTGGCTGAGTAGCATAGGCGTTACCAGCTCCATCCTCACGAGAGAGTGGGAGAGCTGCCGTCCCTGCATGCTCGCCATGTGTTCAATGTTGTGGTATCCATAATTCCCGCGGGTGTTCGGTGAATGAGTAGCCCTTCAACGGGCCCCTTCTGCATGTAGATGTATACACACTCTCTCTCTCATTCTCTCCCATTCTCTGTCTACCCTCGCTGCATGCGTGTCTGCCATGCAACCTGCCCACCAAGATGGTGATGGTCGCATACTCACATTAGCATCACTCAGTTCAGACTCCCCCTCCCCGCCTCACCTCTCAGCACACGGGTCCAGCTCGTCTACACGTGGGAAAGATGTGCATGCCAAGGTCACGTCTCTTCTGGACCATGGCGATAGCTATCCATGCCCCCATGCAGGCGATCGTGGGAACGGTTGTGACCTCCCTCATGTCCTGCTACCACCTTACCACATAGGTAGGTATTCTACCCATCTTCCAGAGCTATGCCGTTTCGGGACTGTGAGGTTTGTTAGTTTTGTTGGGGCTCTTTCGGATAATGAATCTAACTGAAACGGTTGTGCATGAATGTTGGAGGGGAAAGAAAGCATAAGATCGTTGGAATTGTGTGAAAGAGATACGTTACTCATTTGTGTGCATGATTTTGTATATCACATGAGCTTTCGTGGCTTCATTATCACCATATTACGTTTGAGGTCGAGAGGCTATCAAACTTATGATTACAAAGAAGAAAAAAGAAAAGTCTGGTTTTCCTGTGCAGATCAGTCCAGATAGATAGAGTGGAAGCGGTCTCGAAACGTTTAGCCAATATTAGACTCGGCTTGATACGATTGGACAGAAAGATGACTGCGTACCTACATCATAGATACAAAGTTGCCGTCTCTCCGTGAATAGCGGCCATGTTTTTGCCATGTTTTTAGGTAATGAACCTTAACTTCTGTTATATCAAAGGGTAATATCAAGCCACGTGTTTGGAGAGACAGCGTGCTCAACATGGGAGAGACCTCGGCCTAGTTTCAACAGCTCAAAAGTGCGTCCCACCTGCTGAACTAGGTACGACTAACCAGCTAGAGCAGCTGAGCCCATAAGAGAGGGGTGGGAGTGGGAAGGCAGCGGCATCTCTCACTTTGATATGCGGCAATGTTGGCCTTCCTTGCCGGCAGCATCACCTATATCCTTTTGCCGTGTCTATCTAGCATATAAACACTATGGGTGGTTTCAAACCTATGACATGATATGTCTCATCTGGTTTAATAGCATCATTGTTGATTATACATGATACTGATACAATGAAACCTTTCAATATACATTCATTACTCCTATGCAGAAATCAACTTCCAAAAGTACAACTCCTACCTCCAAGTCAGCCCCAAAGCCATGTTCAGGATAATAGATTATGTCATAATTCCTTTATGTAAGACGGAAGGGGGGCTGTGTGGACATCAGACGGGACGCATGACCACAAGCTTCCAAGCATCAGCTGAACGGTCTCGAGTTTACTGCTCGCATTTTTGTGACTCTTTTTCTTATCTCGCATAGAAACTAATGTAATATGAGAAGAAGTGCAGCAGGGCGAAACATATAAGGAAGCTAGCTCGGCACCTCTATGCAAGTCACAGCTTGAAAGGGGGGGAGCATGTAAAGGGGGGTCCACCCCCAATACCTCCATACCTGCCCCTCGCCCTCCCCCAACCAAAATGATCTGCCACCATATGTCCACTGTGATCCCCCGTCTTTCGAACGATTTCGGCCTGTTGATAGGGATCGAAGTTGCCGCGCCTGTGAGCGTCATGCCTTTCTGGGATAGTCCTATACGAGTTGCCCTGTTCGTGGGGGTCGCGGATGGTCCAAGTGTCTTGCACAGAACAAAACGTCACTCGGCCATCGTCATGTTAGTGACGACAGACTTTTTTGGACTTCAGCCACTTTATCAGTGGAGCTAACAGAGGTCAGACGGTTTGCACAGTCGAATATAAGAACGTCATAATGAAGAGTAGCAGGGTTTTCTCCCGCAGCCAGTAAGAGACAAGAAGGTGTGTACTTCCCATTGTGAGCACTAAGGCACAGTGAATGCACGCATGAATGTTGTCAAGCCACAAGGACTTAATCATTACCTAAGTAAGCTATCGGGGAGATAGGGATGATCAGATGATCCGAGGCTTAGGCGCGCGTGCAAATCTATTGTGCATGTACTAGTAGATGCACAATATCCCCGTAGACATCACCTATAATATGCCAGGGCAATATTATAACTACCATTACCTACTCAGTACCCTAGTTGTTATCGACTTGCAGATTTTGGCCAGGGTGTTTTTTTTTTCTTTCTTTCTCCCTTCGGTTTGCTTTCATGGCAGCGGGCATGAACCGTAGCAGCCGAACATCGCAGACACATGCTGCCTGCCAATGTCTTCTTCCACGTAGCCGACAGTTGTCTCTGAGAAGTCCGAGAAACCATGTCCTTCTCTTTCGGGTCTAGGTGGGTTCTGCAAGGGCATCCACATGGCACATACACTGGCTGTCGAGTGAATCTTATTTCTGTGGATCTCAACGAATCGTATCTCAGATGAGAGGCACACCGAGAGCCCCACGTATAGAGGAACAGGCCTTCGAATTTGCTGATCATCAGGAGCCCTTCTCGAAGATTGTTCGAACCATGAGGAACCACGTCCGAAGGAACACAGCAAGGGTCCCAACCAAGAGAGAAGCGCGCGCCGATCCATTGGCAGGGAAGCCCCACCATGCCAAAGCGGATTCATCGTCACGAAGCGCACGTTCGACCATTCAGTCGTAAACATGACGTCTGGAATGGGATCTCAGCAGGTGCACAGCCATAATGATATGGGCCGATGAGAGAGACACCTATGCTGAAAACTGGACTACTGAGAAATCCCGTGATAATCCTTCGAGAACATTTCGTAGCCGCGCGGTCCCAGCTGCAGAGCTCGCTGCAACATCAAACGTCAAGATTTCAACGACCTCTGCGATCTGCGCCATGCCTTTATTTTTGGCTCCAATGTGTTAATGTCCGCGTGCTCAATCTCCATAGATAGTAATCATCGTCCGTATCTTGTGGACTGTCTGTCCGAAATGTAAGCGAGTGCGAAATGAGCAGAAGATCAATATGGCAATGGAGAATTGAACGGGAGTATCCGTCTGGCTGAAACACTGGGACCAGGACAATATTCCCACCTTAATCTGCTTCCTCGGTCCGGATCAGCCTCGATCCGTATTGCACGAAAAGCATGACAACGTCTACAGCATTCCAGAAGCAGCTCAGAGCGCCGGTCGATCAATCAATCGTTCGTTCTTGTCCGCACGGAGAAATGAAAAACCTCTTTCAGGTTGCTTTGATGTACGTATCGTAGATCCCTTTTTGGGGGGAGACGCGCCGCTCCGGAAGGAGAGACAAGTGGGACATCAAATTAAACGGTTCGGACATACAATATGGGGGCCTCCACAGACCGACGATACCTTTAGAGAAAGAGGACCGAAAGCCGTGAACGGGCAGAGAGAACAGCATCTCGAAGATGGGCTTTTCTGCCGCGTAATCGAGTCCACCATTTTTTCCTGTCACGGAAGGGATGGATTGAGATCCAGATAGCGAATCCTCTTGTACTGTCTGGAGCGTGCTCTAGAAGGCTCACCGAGAGCAAGGCGGTGTGGGACGTCCAGAAACGTGCGAGTAGGTAGGATTATGAATTACATGATTGCCCCAACACATGCGTTGCTACTACGTTGGTATCAGGGAGTCATGGGGGCTTGACTACTTGTCATTTTTCCATGAGAAAGAGGAGGGTTCGTGAACGGGAGTGTGTCGACTCGAATATGCTTCATGAATGGCAGAACGTTGTCCCTCATAAGAATCGAGAAAGGGTATGATCTACATGGCAGTGCCGTGTTCGAGCATTCGACATTGATCTACATCCCTCTGACTCATGGTTGGATAGTCAGATACAGTCATCGAAAGTAGGAAATAGTGACAACACTCTTAATCTAGCCGTATTGCAGGAGGAATACTCCTGCATGTAATCGTGAGGCCTGTCTGTAGAGATGATAAGTTCGTTTTGCAGTTAGAAGTTTCATTGCTAACCAAACAATGTTTTCTCCATCTGTGACTTGTGCACGAGAACCGAAAACAGCATTGAAGCTTCATCTGCACCACCACTGTGCTGGATCATTTTGGCAGAGATTGGAATTCCCTCAATGCTGCCGTGCTGAGGTGCATGTGTTCGAGGACCAAAATGTAGCATCAAGATACACCTGTCTGCACATTTCATATCACGTCCAGTTATTCAGATCAAGCATTACATGTCAAGAAGTGAATCATGGAAACTATCTAAGTAACATTCTTTGAAGCCAGAATCAGACACACAGCCAATCATCAATGACCAGACCATCGAGGCTCAGAAATTTTGATATGGTCTTGTCACTCCGTTATTCAGACGAAAATGTGCAATCCAATCATCTATATGGTTGAGCTCTTCTTTCATCTTCTAAGCTCGCTTGTCGATAATCTCCTTCATGTTGGACTCAGTCTCCGTGATCTTGGCCTTCAACTCAGTAACCTCAGTCTCCAGTTCCGTGACATCTATACGTTATAAGACTTGTTATCTTGTTTCCAGAATAGGTGTTAAATTGACTATCAGTTACCAATCACATCTACGCTCGAAACATTGAACGGAGTTCTTAGATCCATGTGCTATGCAGGTTCGAGAAGAGGTTCAACCAAAGGAATAGACTTCCAGACGCAAGTAAAGCTGATGGTTCCTCGTTGGCTGGTCATGGTGAAATCAGAAGAACAGTCCAACATTTGGCATGGTGCTTTCCGGTCACCAAACTCTCTGTCCATCATTCATAACATCTGCAATTCCACATTGAGTGAGAACGTTGCAATCCATCATGAGGGATAGGATGTACTCTTCATTCTGCTTTCTTTCAGTCTGTGCTGTATAGACATTAAGACCTTGGGAAACAGGCTGCCAATCTTGTTTTCAATCATCCAAAAATGCGGACTCTCTCCAGACTTGACCCCATAACAATCTCCCATATTACTACTTCAACATGTACTCTCACACGATGCCCACCCTAAGCATTCTTTACTGCCGCCCCGTAAACCTCCTGCCCAGAGACAGACTCGACAAATCACCATCATAAAACTTCCACTTGCTCTTATAGTCCCGACTCAGCGTCTCCCCGCGTATCAAGGCCCTAAGAAGCTCAATAGGCATCTGATTCGCAGCCAGCACGCGATCATGAAACGCCTTCTCCCCCATCATCATCATCATCATCATCACGCCGTCACCCTCACCTAGGATCTCCTGCCGCAGGGCATACAGCTGCATGGCACCGAGGAAGTAGCCAGCCTGGTACAAGGGGCTATAGTCGCCAGCCAGCGAGCGGCGCACCTCGCCCTCAGCAGTGGCCCTCTCGTGGCCGACCATGTCGACGAGCAGGTCGACGCACTCGCGCGGCGTCAGCAGGCCCAGGTGGAAGCGGATGCTGAAGAGGATGCGCGCGCAGCGATGCATGCGCCAGAACAGCGTGCCGACCCTGTCCTCTGGGCTGGTGAAGAAGTCGCCCCGGTCCCAGAGGACGAGCTCCCAGTACATGGCCCAGCCCTCGGTATAGAAGGGGGTGTCGAACAGGCGGCGGTACGGGCGGGCGCGGGCGCCGACAAAGAGCTGGAGGTGGTGGCCCGGGATCATCTCGTGGAACGCCGTGGCCTTGGACAGGTGCGGGCCGTTGCCGCGCATGCTCATCAGCTTGTCGGCGTGCGCCATGGCCGCCGTCGGGTACGAGACGATGATGCTGGGCCCGCCCAGGAAGAACGGGTTGACCTTTTGCGCGGCGGGGGTCATCATGAACATGCGCCACGTCTTCTCGGCCAAGGGCGGCACCGTGACGAGGTCGTGCTGCTTGACGTAGGTGGTTGCCGAGCCGATGAGAGATTGGACCAGCTGGGGCTGCTCGCCCGGCTCGACGTAGATATTCTGCACGTGGCGGAGGGCGGCCTTCCAGTCGTCGCCGAAGCCCAGCTCCGAGGCGGCCTTTTTCATCTCCTTTTCACACCATTCGTACTTTTGGTTGGCGATGGCGAGGAGCTCCCGGGGCGAGTAGGGGATCATCTCGGCCTCGAGCTCGACCAGCAGGCCGGCCTTTCCGATGGGCTCACCGATGATCTCGTCTGGGCTGTCGTGCGACCGCATGCCTGCGAGTTTTGTGGCGATGATGGGCACAAGAGACTGGATGGCGTCTGTCAGGCCCGAGTAGGGTGCCTGCACCCACCAGTCGAACGAGGGTTGAAACCCTCGAAAGAAGCCGTACAGGTCTGCCAGCCGTTCGAGGAGGTTTTCTATGTTCTTGATTGCTTGGTAGGCGGCCTCTTTGCTGACCTGCAGCCTCCCAGAGACGATACGGGCCTGGGTCTCGACCACGGCGCCCGTAGCATCGTGCATGGCAGCAGCAATGTGCTTGGGATCCAGGGCGTCAAAGTCACAAGCCTGGCGTGCCTCGCACAGCTCGACGAGTGGCGGTGCAAACGGGAGAAGAGGCGCGGCGTCGCTGTCTCGCCTGGCCTCGAGCTTCCTGCGGCGTAGGCTCCTCTGGATATGGTTCTGCAGCAGGAGGTAGTCGACCTGGCTCTCCTGGTCGAGGGCGTCGAACGATGGTGTCGCTGCTGCGAGGGCCGTGAGTTGGTTTGTGTAAAACTCGGTGAGGGCCTTGTATCGACGAGGTGAGAAGGTGACGCTCCAGAAGTTCTTCAGGTCCTTCTCGTCGGCTGCGAAACGGTTGATCCGGTCTGGCAGGCTGATATTGTCTTCGGCGGCCGGCTGAAAAGAAACCTGAGATGCCTGTAGATGCAAGCGCTGAATAGCAGGCAATTCTACGTCCTCCCAGCCCGCATCCCAGGTCTCATCGAGCTCTGGTACCCCTGATGAGCCCTGGCCATCATCGTCATCCCATGTGTGGCCCTTGACCTCACTGGGCAATGCCTTGTGGCTGCTCTCAGATGTGGCAGACATAATAATCACCGTGGCGAGTCAAGCCGAGTGGAGAGTCACGGCGCCGCAAGTAGTTGAATATGAAAAGAGGAGGGCTTCTGGATCTTTCACTCGGGCGGGGGAAATACGACGCAGATTGTGAGGAGAAAGGTGGGAGTGAGACCACGGCTTATCAGTCAATCATCATACAAAGAGTGCTTTGAGTTATAAGTACAAGGTCCCACAGCGGTTCCGGCAATCACACGTTGCTGGAACGTACACGGTAAAATTGATTGAAATCGCCGCGGATGATTCAAAGAGATGCGTTTGTTGGGAAGGAACAGGAAAACAGGCAAAACGCTCAACAAATAATTGTTTCCATCCCCTCGAATAACGGCATGCTAGTATGATTAATCAGACAGAAGTGTCTATACAGCATTATAGGCGGGGTTCAAACACTCCAGTAATACACAAGAATGCAAGGCAATAAGTAAAGACACAGGCAGAATGATCAATCACTTATAGACTGGTAGAACTGAGTAAAGCTGCGATTTTTCTGAATTTGTTGTAAATAAGTGTAGGAAGAGACAAACCCTCCGTCTCCCAAATGACGAAAGAGAAAACAAACAATGGAAAGAAGAAGAAAAGAAAAAAAAGAGAAGAAGGGGAAACGACAGAGACCAACCACAGGTGCCCATCCTGGCCTGGGGCTACCAGCTTAACTCCGGGCGGGTGCTGCCTAAACGCCAGGCAGATTTCAACCCCATAGCCTTGAAGGCTTTTCTGCTGGCAACTTTACCACATTGGGCTTTGGCGGTAGATTAGACCAAATAACCCCCTAATAATATTCTCTTTCTTACTCTCTCACTCTCTCATACAATCGTAAATACGGAATTCAGACTGGTTGACGCCGGAACCCCACTGTATGACCACCCCCCAGCTCTGTTGTGTAAGCCGTCAGCTAGAGCCACACCAATGACCACCACGTTCATGGGCAGGGAGGAAGAAAAAGAGGAAAAAATATTACCTCGCACACCAAGCTTGTCAGAGAACCTCTCTCAACCTCATCTATGAAGCACTCATCTGCCAACTCAGCTTAGATACATCATCAAAGATATTCAACGCACAGCCCCATCATGTCTTGTCCAGACTGTTTCTCAGGCCACCAGCACGACGGCACCCCCAAAGGCAAGCTGATCGAGCTGCACGGCCTGGACACCTACGTCGCCGAGCCCGAGGACGATGTGCAGCCCAAGGGGATCATCGTCATCATTCCTGATGCCTTTGGGATCGAGTTTGTCAATAACAAGCTCCTGGCTGATTCATATGCCAAAAAGGGTGGATACAAGGTCTATCTGCCTGACTTTATGCTTGGTGAGCGGGTCAAAACCATTCCTTGGTGGGAGAGGGGGGAAACACAGGATGTGAAATGGTTTGGGGGGGTTTATTATATGTTCTAACATACAGTTCATCGTTCATTTCTGCCCCTCACAGGCCGTTCCGCTCCAATCTGGATGATTGAATCCATGAGGGCTCTCTTGAGTCCTGGAAATTACCTCTCCAAACCGTGAGTGAGACGCAGTCCAATTAATTACTCCTCCCGAGAAATGAACCTCACTCTATCCCCTCTCCCATCTTTAAAATCATCATTATCGTAATGACTGGCTGATCCCATCTGAAACACACTCCCCCAAAAGATACCACACCTTCTGGGTAGCATACGCCTTCCTCCCCTGGGTCCTCACCAACCGCCCCGGCCGAACCTTTCCAACGGTCAAGAACTTCTTCGAGGCCCTCCGCAGCAGCACCGAGGGCACCACCCTCCCCCTCGGCGTGGCCGGTTTCTGCTGGGGCGGCAAACACGCCCTCCTCCTCACCCGCGAGGAGAACTACTCCTCGTCCTCCTCCTCCTCAGGAGAGAGAAAACCCCTGCTGGACGCCGCCTTCGTCGGCCACCCCAGCTTCTTCGAACACCCGCGCGATGCTGAGCTCATCACCGTGCCGACCTCCTTCGCCGTACCTGAGCGGGACCACCAGATCAAGGTGCCTGCGGTCTCAGACGAGATCGCCCGCATCTTGGAAGGGAAAGGGGGTGAGCTGAAGGTGTACGAGAACTGTGGGCATGGGTTCTGCGTCCGGGCCGACTTTTTGGAGGGAGATGTGGCGAGCCAGGCGGCTGCGGCGGAGAACCAGGCTACTACGTGGTTTACTTCTCATTTAAGAAGGTCGACTTCATGAACATGTCCTGTCGTCCTGATAGGGCGCGTCCTCGTGTTCTTCTTTCTTTTTCATCATTGCCTTTCTCTCTCCTTTCCCTTTTTCTCTCTCTCCCTCTCCCCTCATCTACGATGCGGTACATTGATTTGTTGGTCCCGGTGTACCCGGTAAAAGGTTGTGAACTTTTGGCTGTCAAGGAACAATAGAGAGAGGCTCGAAATCACAAAGCACAGTTTGTTCAATGACAGTTATTGTTCCCATGCCTTGTTTGTTCTCTGAGCCTTTCTTTCACCTCGACTCACTTATCCACAATCTTGACAATAATCCTGTAACAAAGGGTTTCTTGAGGGGTTACAAACATTCCATCGGGTGACACAGCAGGTTATAAGGTAACAACAACCAGCAAACCTTTGGAGAAGGGGAAAGAAAAAAAAAATTTGCATGTATAGTAACACCAACGCGAGATGACTATGGCTTATATAAAATTCTTGCATCATTATCATCCCTTCCTCAGATCTACACCGTGGCAGCCAAAATCCACACACCCTCACAAAATCTTGACTTGAAATACGGGACAGCCAACTCACACGAAAAAGAAAAAGAGGTAAAAAAAACAACCACCGACGTGACACAAGATGCATGTCCAGAAGAACGCCTCCAGGCCCTTCTTCCACAAGGCCTGCGGCCACACAAAGATCCGCTGCCTTGAGTTCACCGTCTCTGACAAGCCCGCCACTGCTGATGTCCCGCCCGAGCAGGACTTGAGCAAGTGTCTTGAGGTCAGGACGCTCGATGGGCCCTGCCCGGACTGCTATCCTCTGTACAAGCAGTGCCCCATGTCTGGATTCTACTACAAGGTAGGCTCTGAGGCGCCCAAGAAGTAGAGAGGCCGTTTGATTTGGTATGCTGGCCACATGCAGCCATTTCAGACATCTCAGACATCTCACTCTATTCTCCCTTTTTTTCCTTTCTTTTCCATACACATAGGGATTCAGCCCCTCTAACCAGCCCCATTAGGAGATACAGAATGAACTTCACATATTTTTCGCCTTCTTTTCTAATGCTCATATGAGACTTTGATGCATTTATGTCTATAGTGAAAGTAAGCAGACCCTGTTCAATCCCCACCTATAACCACCACACCCTTCCACATGTTTGTTGACGTTTCCCCTTCCCATTACCTCCAGGACACAGACAGACAAACAAACTCGCAGGCTATTCACTCACCACACCACATCTGGCCTGCCTACTTCCAAGCCAGCACCTCGCTCTGCAGCACCCCATACCAAGCATCCTCCACCTCCGCCCACCGGTCCAGCAACCCCCGAGCCTCATCACACTCCTCCTCCGTATACCCAGCCCGCAACCACGCCTCCCGAAACGCATCGCCCCTCGCCAGCCTTCCGCCCAGTGTATCCCGCAGCCGGCGCCGCCCCTCCACACCACTCACGACCGTCGCGCCCCCGCCGATCCGCACCTTAGCCCCATCATCATCATCCACATCCCAGCCAGCCAGACGAAGATACCGCGGCATATGCGCCCCGCACAGCGCCGTGCTGCTGCTGCTGCTGCTGCTGCTGCTGCTGCTGCTGTCATCACCACCCCTCCCCTCCTTCCCTTTCCCTGCAATGACAGAGAACAGCCTGTCATGATAGCACCGCCGCAGCTCCTCGCCAAAGGGATGCCACGTAATCGACGCAGCATCGCGCGCAGCAAGCAAGCCGCCGCCGCCCCCCTTGAGCACACGACGCACCTCCCGCAGCGCGGCAACCGGCGCATCCGGCGCGGGCGCGAGGTGGATCAGGGTCTGGGAGGTGAACACGACGTCGAACGTCTCGTCCGGGAACGGCAGCCCTGCCAGGACATCTGCCTGCAGGAACGTGACGGCGCCCTCGGGAAGGAGGAGCGGCTGCTTCTCGCTGTTGTTGTTGTTGTTGTTGTTGTTGTTGTTATTGTTATCGTTGGTAGAGGAAGTAGTAGAAGAAGCAGAAGCAGAAGCAGCCAGGGCGCGGGCCGATTCGAGGACGGCAAGACCCGAGTCCACACCCGTCACGCTGCCTCCCTGGGCTGGGTTGATGAGTCCTGCGAGGCCGAGGGTGATGGTTCCGGGCCCGCAGCCTAGGTCGAGGACCTTGTGGTGCGGCTGGATGTGGGGGAGCACGAAGGCGGCGTCGGTGTGGATGGTGCGGGAGGCGTGGGAGGCCGTGGTGGCTTTGGAGTAGCCCATTGTGTAGCCTCTGGGGGTGGGCGTGGTAGTGGTTTTGTTGTCTGACGGCGACGACATGGTATTTTGTCGTTTGTCTTTTTTTCTTTTTTTTTTTAGTCGTTTCTTGGATGCAGTCTGAGAAGTTGATCAGATGGAGACTTGCTTCAGAAGAAAGAAGGAGAGGAAGATTGGCAATAAATACTTGGAAATGAGCACAGCATGGACAGGTGAAAAGAAAAAAAAATCGCCCCCTTCCCCCGAATCATCAATCCGGAATCCCGCCGCAATTCCGGCGCTCCCATCCCTCCCGCGCCGTCTCCTCCAACAGCCAAGCCGGGAAGCCATGCGGTCGACGCTTGCCTGCTGTGACCATCCTGGGACTTAGTGGGCCGATATTCCATGTATTCGCTACCTTTTGGGGTCTATGCACCGTCGCTATGGAGAGGACCGTGAAAATGACTAGCCTTTGTAAGAAGAACGCTGCATCGTATGCTGAGTAGTACGTGCCCATTACGTGCGTGTCGTAGGGAGACCACTACACGAGCCTCGAAGCAAGACATGGTTACCAGCAACATTGTAAATAACCGCTCAGTCAATCAGTCACGAGCTCGAGTGCAGTAATGGAGAACGGCAGTGCACATGCATGTGTGTATCAGAATACAATACTATTGTTATAGCTCAACCGAATAACATGGCCAGTGGAAGTTCTGGCGGTTTAAGAATGATATCTCGTGACAATGAACCAAAAGAGTCAAGTAACAACCATGACAGTGAACCCGTCCAATTCCGGTAAGAATGTATCATCAAGGTCGACGTCGTGGACGTGCCAGATACTGTTAACCCCTGATGATAAGGGGAGGGAAAAAAAAAAAGAAGTGGAGGTGCATTCCAAGGAAAAAACCGCAAGGCAGACGCATCCTCCCAGTTCTTGCGAGCGTGTATGAGAAAAGAGACACAAACATCCTCTCCGTAAACTTTTATCCCCCCTTTCCTTCCTTCCTCTACTGTCCGGCTGCGCCCTGCGAAGAAGCCAGGCTCTTCCAGTGGGCAAGCTCAGCCGCCAGCTTCTCCTTCTCAGCCTCAAGTTCCCTGACCTGGCGCTCGAGCTCGTCCATGCGCTCCGCCTTGCGCGCCCGAGACTTGCGAGCAGCGAGGGTGTTCTTGGCGCGCTTCATGCCCACCGTATCGCTGGGGTCATCGATGGTGATGGGAGGCAGGGGCTTGCCACGTCGGCGAGCGCTCACCCCAGACACCGACGAGTGACGACCAGAGGGAGACGAGGATGCACTAGACTTGCGTGCTTGGCTGGGCCTTCGAGCAGGCTCAAAGTCCTCCGAATCCACAGATGGAGAGTCCTCAGCCTGGGCGGCCGGCACAGGCGCAGGTGCCGCCAGTGCTGGTGCCGGTGCAGCAGATGTCTCGGCATCAGGAAACAGAGACGGCCACTCTTGCGCGGTCTCAAAGTCGTTCTGGGCAAAGAGAGGGGAAGCATTCCAATCCTCAGTGAAGGCAGGAGACGTGTCATAGCCCGAAGGCGTTGTCAGGTGCGTCAGAGCAGTGGATCCCGGAGCAGACATCAGGTTCTCCGTCAGGAGCAGCTCCGTGGGAGACACACTCATGACGGAGCTGTGTAGGGAACCACTCAGGTCGAGGCCGAATGCTGGGTTGGCCGGAGAGGAGAACTCTGAGACCGGCGCCCCGCCCTCGAAGGGGCCGAAATCGGGGAGATCAATGTCTGTGCGCGAATCTTGTGAGTCAGGGCTGTGCTGAAAGTAGTGAGGAGGAAGCAGTATGTTTAGGGAGGAGGTAGTAGTACCTAGTTCCATATTGTTGTTGTTGTTGTTGTTGTTGTTGTTGTTGTTCGGACCGTTGAATAAAGGAACAGGTGGACGTTGACCGTTAATGACACGACGGTGTTGACCGTTGTTGACAGCGGCAGTGGATCCTGGGGCAGATGCCGAATAGATCGGGCTGTTCTGGTTGCGCGACTGTCGTAACAAGTGCTGGCGGTGGAGAGCTCTAGCTCTAGCAGCTTCGTCCTGCTGTGCTGCTAATGGAGACCGAGAAGATGGTGTAAGCCGTTGTCGAGTATTGCTTTGCAGATGAACCCGGTTGGGTTGTTGGATGGCAGAGCGTCTATGTGGCTGCGGAAGGTGATCCGGAGGGTATAGGACAAAGTCCTCGTGCGGCGCAGAAGGTCGCTGTGGGGACAGATGAGGCGGGTGTGCAGGATGTTGTGCCGGAAGGCTCGAAGTACTGGGAGGAAGCCATGTTGACTGTGGTGAATCCGTGTTGGCGACGGGGTCGTCAAAAAATGATGAATTCAGTCCGCGAGGAACTGAAGATTGAGTGGGGTGGGGGGGGACAAAACTGTCAAAAAATTGGGAAGTTATTTTGACGGTGGGTTGCTGCACGAGGCCAGTGGGGGAAAAGTTGTTTAGAACATCTTGATTGCGATGTTCTGTAGTATTTTGATGATTGTTGTTGTTGAGGCTGGTTAATGGAAAGGAAGAAGAAGAGGCAAAAGAGGTGCCTGAAATGTGGGATGCCATGATATTTTTGTAGGCCAGCAACCGGCGCCCTGGGTTGGGCTTGTGGGCACTAGCGAGGTACTAACGGATCCCTGCTCTTTTTCCCTTATGAGTCACAGCACTGTTTGTGCGCCCTACCGTGGCTGTATCAGAAGGGTGGGGCTTTTGCTTTTTTCCAGTGATGAGAGAAAGGGTTAGGGTTGCGCGACAACTTGGACGGTGGGGGCTGAATGGTGTTGGCCACTTGCAGCAGGTTACTGTATGTGACTGTTGTATAGTAAGTATTGTGAGTGTGCGTGAGTGCATGTGCAGTGAAAGATGCTGAAGTCAGGAGAAGAAGAAAAAGATTCGTGTCTTCAACAGAAACTGGCAGGCGGGCTCTCAAATATCTCCCATGTTTAGGCATCTGTTTAGCTTTATTCCACATCAGAATTGTTCTCAACTCTTCAAGTGCGAACAAGACGTGGTGTTAAGTGCCAAGAGCCCACATCACATTGGAGGACGTGTCCTCTTGACACACAGAGGCAGCTTGGGGGAGGGGTGGCACCCGCGAGAGGATGGGCGTCGATCTAGGTCAATCGCCAGAACTAGCGCAACGAAGGAGCCTGACGGCGAACCTGAAAAGGACTAGCTCGTCTCCAGGCCCAGAGATTGCAGACCGTATGGAATTACTAATTTTTGGACTATGGAACTCTGGCAAAAGGCGGGATTTGGTTCACAAACCTGCAACGTCCTGCCGCAGCGCCACACAGTCCTACATTTCTCTCTCTCTCTCCTCCCAAGGGGACCAACCAATTTGGTTGTATGGCTGAATGAATAAGCTTCATTCTCAGGTAGGTCTTAGCCTCAAACAGGAGAAGTGCTGCACCCCTCAAGATGGTTTCTCTTTTGGCTGATTGGTCGGATTTCTGAGGCAGTGCCCCTCCATTGTCCCCCTCCACCCCCCCTCCCCGGTCCAAACCCACTTACTAGTATAGGCAACAAAAGGACCATGTTTCCTCCCTCCTACTCCCTCCTCCTCCCCCTCCCATACTATGTACAGTGGGATGGAGAACAGTGGGATAGGGATATCTAGCGAGCCTTGTTTGAACCCCATTGGACTACTATGGTACTAAGTGAGGACAAATTTGCCAAGTGCTGCCTGAGAGAGCATTGCGCAATGAGGATAACGACGACCTGCGCAAGCCCAGGCGCCCATCCTAGGTCATGCGCACCCCATTGCGCGTTGCGCTTACTGGCCTTTCTACCACCCTCTCGGTGTTTGGGCCCAGAGTCCAGGACATGTCCTAGAATCCCGCAAGACGCTCCTCCTCGAGCGTCCTTTTCTCCATCCAGCGAATCAGAGAGACGAATCTGAGGGAGCGAATCGAGAATCGAGAATCAAAGGGGAAAAGAAAATGAGTCACAACACTGTAATCCCTGTCTCTTGCGGCAGCTTTTGCAGCAGGAGCGCACGTCCATCAGCAGCACCATGCCAGTTCTCAAACAGCCGAGATTGGAAAGCCGCGCAAGAGACGGAAGAGAGTGCCCACAGAAATCGCCCATTCAAAGCCCTTTTTCAACGGTAGGAAAATCGGTCACCATCTTCCAGGCCGCTAAACGTTGTTTTCGGGACACCGGAAACCAACTGGACATGCAGATAGCGAGTACGAACTCCGTACCCGTCCGAGCTCCGTACCTAACTCCATCTCTCCAAAAAAAAAAAAAAAAAAATCGGCAAGATGCTGTTTTACTCGTGTCTGTCTGCCTCTTTTTCCCTCACAACATTTATGATCCCAATCGCGCCAGTTACGTCTTTTCTTTAGGGAGGAGGGAGGGGGCGGCAACGTCGCACCAATCACCACCAGACGAAGTCCTCAGCTGGCCGCGCCCACCCTCTCAATATCCGCACATTCGCCCTTTCGATCTCGACGCACGATAGAAGTATTTGTCGTGTGGAAGGGCGTCTCTGATAAGGCACCTCAAGCTAATGCGGGCCTTACCCCCAGCGATCACCCTGCCACACCGAGTCCACACACAAACACGAACAAACAGGGCAGGGCGGGGAGGAACCTTGCGGTCCTTTGGCTTGTTGGGTCCCTGCTGCGCAACGGCGCATAGACAGGCCGGCGGGCGTAAGCAGTGCAGCCCCAGCCTCCTCTTGTGCCCCCCCCCCCGGGCATAACTCGTCTGTCTCTCTTTGGGGTCAGCACTTGTGAAGACGGGGAGACACTTGGGGGAAATCCCCCTTTTGTTTCCTCCCCTTTCGTCCACCCGTTTCCTCCCTCTTTGTCTCTCTCTAGGTTTGCCACCCCGACCTTTTTTGGTGATCTTTTTTATATTTTATCTATTCTTGATAATTGGCCTTTCTTGAGTTCCACGAAGACCCACCTGCGCTTAGACACGGCTCTTTGGTGTAGCGCAAAGGCAGAGACGATACCAGCAAGTATTAGGCCGCCCGAAGGGTGAGAAATACGACTCGTATTCACAATTCGCCTTGTTAGTAGCCAAGAAGTGCCTTGGACCTTTCTGGCCCAAATCCGGCACTGATTTGGATCGTCTCGACAAGGATAGCATTCTTGCACTTCCCAGAGGACAGATAAGCTCTCAGGCTCGAGACAAGTGTCTCTGCTGGGACGAACGCGTTCCGTCGGTTGGGCTCCTCGTGTCTCTACGAGGCAGACCAACTGTTCATTCCCGTTGTCTTTCTTGTGGGTCCATTACGCGCGTTCCAACAGCTGTTGGCATACAAGAACAAAGGAATATTCTGTGCCATCATCTTCTGTTTGAAGCTGACTCTGGTCCACGACGGCTCGAGGTGAGTCTATACAAAGGGGTTGGAGTATAGGGTCTGGACGTGATGAGATGGCGAAGTGTTAGCCAGCTTGCCCGGTCTTTCATGCCTTAAAATTCGAGGTCGCTCGTGAGCCTTATTCTGCAAAGCACCAGTGTACGACTTGAACAAGATCATCATCATTGGTGGTATGTGGTGATCTCCTTGTCTTTCAATGGTGAGTTGATGTTTTCTCCGGAAGGGAAAATGATGAGAAGAATCAGTACCGCAATACCAGACGGCGGGCCTGGCCTATGATACATGGATAAATGTACGCTCTTTCTTTTCATATTGCTGGCGGCTCGTCCACAGCCTATGCGGCTCCCTTCGCATTGAGCTGGTAAGAGACCATCGCCAGCCGGTTGAGAGACCAGCTATGAACTTCTCGTTGAAGAACGCTTTGCAGCTCCAAGAAAGCATCGAGATATTGAGCCCAACGATTAAATCCATCACAGAGACGAGGATCACCGACGCCTGGTCACCCCTAGCATCGGGCATCAGACCAATAACCGCTCATAGCTGAAGGAGTAAAAGGGATGCAGCTATGTTCGAGGTGCCATCATCATGCTGATCCGCAAAAAGCACATAGTCAGAAAGAGGCCTTTACATGCTGTACTGTACGCATAGAAAAGAGGGACGGATGATACAAGTGATGATGATGCACGCTGTTGTCCATAGGGTTGATGCACTCACGCTGCGTCAAGTGAGGAACAACCTCCTTCCCGTCCCACCTTCTCTCCTTTCCTGGGCCACTCAACAAGTTGCCTACAGAGCACTATTGTGTCTCTTTTTCTCCAGCTTCCTGATGATAGAATACTGATGCAGTGTTTTTTTTTTTCACTCGATTCAGGGCATATGCAGCGTTGAGGCGAGTATCTTTGTGCCAGAGGAGTCGCCAATCATTTGTTTCAAAGGATGGCTGAGGATCGTGTAAGAGAATTTTGAAAACTCGGAAAGTGCCAGTGCAAGTTGGCGGGTCTTTCGGCAAGATGTACCTAGGCCCAAAAATCCTTCTCAGAGCTTGGTGTGGAAATCTGCAGAGACATAGATAGGAGCGAGAGTCTGTACATGCTTTGAACACCCCCCCAAGCGAGCATTCTCTAGTGTATAGCGAGTCGACATAGAGATCAATCTCTCCAGCTTTTTTAACATATCACTTGTGCGATGTGATGACTTGACCTCAGCTGTCCTCAGCAGGCATCTACGGTGATCGGGCAGCCATACCCAAACAGTAGAAGGCATGGCCAATCGCGTGTTACAGATCACGCCTCCAAGGACCCGCTTTAGCCATCATTTAGGCGAACACTGACAAGGCCAAAGAGACATCAAAACTGCGACTACACAATGCAAACAGTGTCCATCTCGCTACCCGAATCACGCTTTCTGCGACATCTCGCATTGACACCAGTGGTATGAAGCACTCAAGGCACAGACCCGTCATTGCCCGTGTTGCTGCTTCCGTCCCGGTATCACTCTCACTTGTGTCCTAGGTACGGCAAGGGCTGCTGGTTTTTGAGCGTAAAGCTTGACTATTTCGAGCACGTACCACAGCAGAACAAGTCTTGGAAAGCTGCACGTGCCATCGAATCCAGCTTGTTGGGTGGCTGCTTTTATGTGAGCCGGTGGTAGCCCAGTGAAGAGAAATGACAGTGCGAAATCCGGACTCAGAAGATATAGGGACCGCAAGGAGGTGATCGACCTCCCAGTATCCAGGCCACGTGCCCACGAGCTTCCAGTCGAGGACCGCAACGACTCTTCCGTCCTTGATGAGGATGTTGTTGGCTTGCAATGAACCGTGTGTCACGACAGACTCCAGGTTGTCATTTGGCATGAGAGTTTGAAAGCATGGTGTTCACAACATAGATAGAATGACCTGGTTCGCCGCCGAATCGAGCCAAGGTCTGCGAAATGTAACAGGAAAACCACGCCATGAGTAGCCAGTGGCTTTCGACGTTCTAACCAAAGAAGGCGACAGCATCGACGAGGATAGTCCATGTTTGTTGGTTTGCTTATCATATATTCCAGAATTCGGCAGCATGGACGGTGTAGTCAAACTTGACCACTTCGTAGGTCCTCTTCCCAAGTTGTGGCATCTAGAATCGTTCGTATCGAAAGACGATCTCGTGAGGATAAGTGAGGCAAACAAATCGTGGAGAATCTCGATAGTACTCGTAGGCCAAGGCACGCTTTGGTACGTGGAGAGCAGATCGATCACCACGTATGGATCTGTTTGGGTACTATACAATGTGCGGTATTCTTCAAGGAATTTAATCTGAAGACCAATTGGGATTGAATAGTGGCCTTATAGATCGAAGAATGTGCGTATGGCTATGGAGATCACGTTCGAATTCACTTGAGCCCGTCTTCCATTCGGTACCACGGAAGTGGATGATGATGTTTTTTTCGGGGTCCGGTCGATTGGGATCCGACTCCTCTTTTGTTGATGCTCTCTAGAGTTCTCTTGTATTTTCCTCCCGTCCCTGTAATCAGCTCTGGCCGGTCCATTGCTGTCGAGTGCGGCCCAAACTGGCCTCGAGCTGCTCGAGCAGCCTGAGAAGCATTCTCACCTTCACTAGACCCGCTGGTGTATGGTTCTCCTGAGCGAATGGCACGTCCTCTGGGCTCGTGTCGACAACTTGAAGCGTCTGTTTGTGTGTGTGTGTGTGTGAGAGAGAGAGAGAGAGAGAGAGAGAGAGAGAGCTGAGGCCGACAGAGGAGCGGGTCGTCTGACACGTCAGTCTCGCCATCCGAGATTGCGTCAAGTAAGAGGAGGAGAGTGGCATTGCATAGAGCCTAAATGATGGTGGCCACTGAGGATGAACTTTAGAAGACAATATTATGTAAAAGAATGGTGAACAAGATAAGTAGAGCTGTCACTAAAAAGGAAAGAGAGTGATGCTTTTTTGCGCAGCTGGCCCATTTATAATTGCTCAAAATCGACGGTCAACAAATGGGAAGGCGCCAAAAAGTGTGATAACAGAGTTTTCAGCTTGAAGCTATCAGTTTCTCTAAATTACGCGAGGTAATGCCTGAGTGTCGCCTTCCTCCAGAGAGGCAATCGCCCCGTCAATGACAACAGCACCTAATCGCAGCTTCCTCTTCTGCGTATCAGGTCCCTTGTACGCGAATGCAGCAAAACATACACTAATTCTGTTTTTCTTCTTCCCCGCTATGGCGCCTCCATCTCACTCGAGTAGCCGAGTCTAAGTACTCAATATGCATTCGAACCCGACATATGTCTTGCCTGCTCTAGCCAGCGTGGAATTACTTGAGGGCCTCTTCCAGGACTGTAATCCAAGTCAAGGAAGCCCCTCCTTTTGGCTTCATGATGACCACGCAGTCCACAGCATTGAAGATGCAGCCTGGTCTCGAAAGGCTGGCCGAGAGTGACCTCCCCTTATCTCGTATCTTTGGTTGCATCTCGATGACAGCTACTAATGACAACAGGAGCTCAGGCGGACTCGGCTTCGGCACTGTCGAACAATCACGATCGTCACCCGCCCAAGCCACATCTCCAGATGGAGCCTGTCAACTCTGCGAGTCACTTTGACTCTGAAAGCACGACAGCTGCCGAGGCAGGTGGCTTTCCAGTTAATCACATGGAAGGGCCGGGGTCTTGCCTGATCCAATTGTCCTGGGCCGAACCGGTCAAGCCGGAGAACACGGACGCAGGTCACACGCAAGCACGAGCGTACAGGGAAAGAAAGCGAACACCGCAAGAGGGTTGCACGACAGGAAAGACACCAAGGAGCAGACCCCGGGATAAGGGAGCCACGAATATCAAATCACGGACCACCGGGACGGAGCACGCGTGATCTGTCATGTCTGGTATAGGCAAGTCAGCTATTAGCACCTCCCAGATTCCGGAATATCTCGAGATGGACTTACGGTTGTGCGTGGTTGATGATTCATGACCAGATGACAAGCAGACCAGGGCAAAGAGGACCACAAGGCTTGGGGAGGGGGGGGGGGTTTCATAGAGAGAGAGAGAATGACAGTGACACTGACAGAGATCGACAAGTCGTTGGAAAGATCGAAAGCAGTAGGCGACCGCCGCTCTCCGGCAGCCACACGAAGACTAAACTCTGGTACTTTGGGGCGTACCCGCAGGACTGGCTTCACTGGCTTGATTGGGCAACCCAACCGGGGGCATCTGGAGCCTATCTTCGGCCTGCGGGGTTGATCTGTTATCACGAAGCGGGCCGGATATGCGGTTTACGAAGGTGATACGGCACCCAGGGGGGGTGGTGAGACATTGGTTCTCACTGATGTTGGATGGGATGGCTAGACATTTTTGTCTGTTGAGAATCTGCTTACTTTAGCACAGTCTCACACCAGCAAATATTAAAGACAGCCCAGTGCCCTGCGCCCTGGCATACCTGATGATGATGGACAACCCGATATTACTTTCGTCAGCAATCGATTCCAAGCAAGAGAAGCCAGGAATATCAGAAGAAGCCATGGGCATCCGAACAACAAACTTTCATATTCCCACCATCAACATTGCCTCTTACCTCCGAGATCCAACGTCTGATGCTGCTGCGCGGGTTGTCCGCGATGTGCGGAACGCCTGCGTGAATGTGGGGTTCTTCTCGCTGATAGGTCACGGCATACCAAGAGAGACACGAAGGGGTGTGCTGGAGGGTGCGAAGAGGCTGTTTGGCCTGCCGCTGGAGGAGAAGCTGGCCCTCAAGCACCCGCGGCTCAAAAATAGAGGGTACGAGCTCATTGGGTCCCAGTCGCTGCAGGAAGGTACCCTCCCAGACCTGAAAGAGGTAAGAAGAGTGCTGGCGAATGAGACAAGAGCCCACGCTGCATGATGTACCCGCCGAGTACCGGACGGTTCGGGAAATGAATCATGCTGATACATAGACGACGTCTTAGGGTTTCTACATTGGCAAGCACATGCCAGCAGACTCGGAGAAAGCCAAAGCACACCCGCACCTTTTGGGAGAGAATATCTACCCACCCAGTCTCTCCGTGTCCGAGTTTCAGCGTCCCAGTGAGATCTACTATTCCGCCGTGTTGGATCTGTCGCTCAAGGTGTTGGACATCCTTGCCAAGGGCCTGCCCTATGGCGACGGCATCTTCCGCGACTTTGTCTCTAATGACCCGGTCTGCACTATGAGACTGCTTCACTACCCTCCACAGCAATCACGAGATCAGAGGCAACTCGGCGCAGGTGCTCATACGGATTTTGGTCTGTGTAACATTCTCCTTCTTCGTGTCTCCTGGACCAGACCCGCCCGCCGCCCCGTCCTTCTCCCTCTCCTTGTTTCAACCCCAGCAAGTAATTAACATCAGAAACCCAGGCGCCATCACCCTCCTCCTCCAGGACTCGTCCGGCGGTCTTGAAGTCTTGGATGACTCCACAGGTACCTGGCATGCTGTGGATCCCAATCCTGACGCCTACGTTGTCAATATAGGCGATATGCTTTCGCTGTGGACCAAGGGCATCTATAAGAGCGCCACGCACCGCGTCATCAACAGGAGCGGCGGGGATCGGTACTCGGTGCCGTTCTTCTTCGATGGCAACGCCGAGGTCAAGCTGCGTCCATTCGATGGGAGCGAGCCTGTTGGAGGGCGTGTCGTCACTGTCGAAGAGCACATGCTGGAACGTTTGGGAACATCTTATGCACGGGTTGAACAGGGTGGGCAGGTCGTTTCTGCTTCTGCTTGAGAACGTGATTATCATTATTCAGCCTCGACTTCCTCTCTCTCTCTCTCTCTCTCCCTCTCTCTCTCAATGAGATCATCATGCAGCGTTCCTCTCATGGCCGTCTGGCACACAAGTCTTTCGAGGTGGAACAAGGCACGAGCTGTCTTTTGCACCACGTGTACATTGGGTTACCAATCCGGATGCTCACAAGGGCCGGACTGCATCTCGCTTGTACGAGAACACGAAGGGCAATAGTATGCCGATCGTCAGCATGGCTGGCTGCGTTTGTGTGACGTGACACCAGATCATCTCAGACATGCATCTCCTCCAGCATCGCACAGCACGAACGGTTGGGGCGGACAGAGTGAACACCCCCCTGGTCACGCTCCGGCGTGCGCCGTTTCTTTACAATCTGTAATGTGCATGCATGCCCCTCGGCTAAACGGCTCTCAACGGGCCGTAGAAGAATGGGTAGGTTGGCGCTCTCGCTAACTCCCTTTTCCTCTATCTCCTCCTCCTTCTCCTTTCTGTCCTTCTCTCTCTCTCTCTCTCTCTCTCTCTCTCCCGCTCTCTCTTTCTCCCTCACAGGAGCTGCTAGCTCAAAGGTCTGGTCAGGTTATTATGCACAAACCGGCGATCACTACCTCACGTGAGAGCCAGGGCCTCCCGAAAGGGGGAACAGGAAGATGAATCAACTCTGCGCTAGCTATACTGAGAGGGATGTGCATACCAGTCCGGGACTTTGTGGTGCAGTGTGGCTGCGGCGAGGTGCTCTCCGGGGATTCGCCATGGAGGCGGTCACCGTTACATTGCATGCCATTATTGCCTTCTCCTCTCATGTCTTGGGAAGCATCACTGCAACTTACTCTTCCGCTCTTACATGATGTTCTCTCGTAATGGTGGACCCTCTTGGTGCTGTCAAGTACCACTACGGTAGTATTATGACCTGAAGGGAACTCAATCAGCGTCTGCGATAGAAACCGGCCCCCAGCTCGATCGCGATCTATGAGCCCCTAGCACCTTTTTTTTTTTTTTTGGTTTCAGACGAGTCACTTCTCTCTTTTTTTTCTTCTTCTTGTTGGCTTTGTATTTTCCTCTTCTGCTTGGCCTTCTGCTAACATTGCGAATAGACGGGCATGTGTAGTGTGATCCTCTCGCCAGGTATTACTATGTGCTTAGTTGCCGATCAATGATCTTTCCCTTGTTCACAGCGCAAATCGCCACTCGGACGACATCTGCCAGCCCCGGGTTCCGGACCTGGCCGGAGCTCTTCCTCCGCCTCCTGCTGCAGCTGTTGCTTTGCTCTCCACACCTGCAACATCGACCTTCTCGGACGAGGACGCAACGTGGCCAGCCATGCTTCCTTGACGTTGGCTCGCCTCCCTGTCCCACCTCTTGTTCATGTGGCTGAAGTAGGTCCGCAGCCCAAACGCCAGCACCGCATTGAGGAACATGAAGGCCGCACAGGCCGACAGGCCCTTGACATAGTACGGCCCCTCGGCGGCAAGGAAGACGCGCGTGCCGAGCAGGGGACCGCACTGCCCAATAATGTTCATGACGGCAATCCCTGCGCCACGCCTGGTATCGCCGCGCTGGTTGTTGAGCAGCCATGACAGGATGTTGGCGATGGCAGGAAACACACCTGCCGCGGCGAGGAAGACGCCGACGTACCTGACGGCGACAGCTCTGCACGCCGCGAGGAGGATGTAGCCGGTGCAGCCCACGGCGGAGAGCAAGGTGATCAGGAGACCGCGCTGCTGCGTGCGGTCACCCAGCCACGTGGAAGCGATGCACACGAGAAAGGCGAGGAAGTAAGGGGGGGCGGTGAGGCCCTGTGCGTTGACGCTCGTGAAGCCCATACCCGTCAGCACGGCGGGGAGGAACACAGGCAGCGAGGCGAAGGCCACGTTGCAGCTAAAGTACATGAGCGCCTGCACCCAGACCTGCGGGGTGCGCAGGGCGCCCACCACCTCGGCCCAGTCGATGTGGCCCAGGCGCGTTCCTGTCGACGTGCCCGTGTCGTCCTGGCCGGTGGTGCGCAGGGCGCGGGCGCGGGCGAGGGCCCTCTCGTGCTCTGTGAGGAAGCCCGCGCTGGCGGCCGAGTCCGGCAGCACGAAAAAGACCACCAGGGAGAGGAGGAGGGGCGGGAGGGCCTCGATGATGAAGAGCAGGCGCCAGCTCGCGATGCGGTAGGTCGAGCCCGTGATGCCGTACGCGAGTGCGCCGGCGAAGGTGGTCGCCAGGGGCGCGGCCGACAGGAAGATGCCGCAGCGCACGCCGAGCTCGCGCCGGTTGTAGTAGAAGGAGAAGAGGTACGGCATGCCTGGGCCGAAGCCTGCCTCGGCGGTGGCTAGGAACCATCGGCATGCCATCAGGCTGGACCAGCTGAAGGAGGCGGCCTGGAGGATGGAGGCTACGGCCCAGGTGAGGACTGTTGCGGCCGCCCATATGTCTGGGTGGTGGTGGTAATGGTGTCCGTCAGCCATTGCACTTTTTGGGATAGGCATGAAGGAAGAGAGAGAGAGAGAGAGAGAGAGAGGGGCAGAGAGAGAAAATTGAAAAGACTATACGAGGAGGTGTGATTTTCCACATCAGCGCCAGCCACTCAAAGATGATGTACGGGATATAGAATATCGTGAGGAGCCACTGCCGATAGTCAGCAATAATCACAAATACAGTCTTTTTTTTCATTGTCATTCTTCCTCTTCAGCGTCTGGCAGGAGCAGTCAGGACTTACCTGGTACTGAGCATCACTGAGACCAAGGTCCTTCCCCATCCCCGCCGTCTGGGCGTTTCCGATGTTGGACCGGTCCAGGAACGCGGCCAGGTCTGAGGACGACAGGACGACAGCTGTTCGTTAGCCATACCCCCTCCTCTTGCTCTCTTTGTGAAACAGGCAAGACAATGAAAGGATCCGTGTCACAACAGCAGCAGCAACAACACATACAGCACAAGAACGCAAGCACCACAAGCCGCCTGTCCAGCTTGCGAACGAGGCGTCTCTCTGTTGCCTCGACGGTGTGGACGGTCTGTCCTGAGACAGAGGCTGAGGTATCCTTAGGGGGCTGGGACTCCTCAGGTGGGGGCTCGGGGTGGTGATCGGATCCAGGAGGGCCGGGCCGGGCCAGAGAGATCTCGGCAGTCATTGTGAGCTCTCCTTCTTCCTGGTGCGTGCGGGGGTGGTTGTGGGAAGGGTTTGAGGGGCGAACTCTGTGTTGACCGCAGCGGGAGGCATGAAAGGTGTCTCATCCGTCGCGGTTAGGTCATATGGCGTGGGCTGGGAGGAGACTCGAAGAATCAAGGTGATGGCAAGGAGAGGAAAGGGACACTGCTGTGTGATGTACAGCGCTGTCTGCAAGTTCGAGTCGCACGGCAGATGGAATCGTGTGCGCGCGCGTCTTGGGCACCAAAATTGGGGGTTCTAAGGTTTCCAAAACGGCCAGGGGTGAAGTGAGCACGAAATTCTTGTCCAAGGAGGTAATGTTCATTACTTTTAAAATTTCTTCTTGAGACTATTTCACTGCACTTGTCAAGAGATAAAAATATACACAGATGGATGCTCTGTCGCAAAAGACCTTGCTTGCTCTGGTTTTGTCAGTCTTCCGAGACACTGGCTGAGGAGAGAGGGTTCTCCGCACCCGCACCGCCGTCGTCCTCCGTCATGGGGATCCAGCTCTAAAAGCTTACTTGAACTTACTGTCCCCATTCTTCATGAATGAGACTTGGCCGCCGCCTGAACCTTAGTTGCCGAATGGAAAAAAGTAGAAGGAAAGATTGTTTGTTCTGGCTTGTTGATTTGCTGGTTCATTGGAACTTTTTGGCTCACGAGATTTCTTGGGCCAAGCTTCAAAGTGAGGAGGAAGAATCTCGCCTCTATAGCTGCATTTATTTTTATTTTTTTTGCCAAACAATTGCCAAGAACGGGGTGGTGATTTTTGAGTCTCGAAATCGTCCAGATATTTACGGCTTTCGAGGTCTTCAACAAGAGGCAGCTAGGGTACTCTGCGAGACTTAGAGAGCCATTTTATGGCTCTTTCATTGAGTAATCACCTAGGTAGACACTCTCTTGGACGCTCTTTTTAGAGGATGGACAGTAATTAGGCGAGGTAATTCATACATCTAGAAAATAATGCATAAATGCAGGAGAAGGAGAACAAACAGAGAAAAGCTAGATAGATTATCCGCGACAAGCAGAAATCTCATCATCGCCATCATAATCTTCACCTCTGTAGGAACCAAGGGTTGCACCGCCGCTGCCCTGCAGCTCAGTCAGTCGTCAGCCAGCCGGTCAGTCACAGCGGCGAACTTTGCCTGCAAACCCCCCTTGCTGGATCATCTAAGTAAGTTGTTGATCCTAGTAAGTTTCTTTGTTTCGAAGTACAAGGCTGAATCATACTCGGGACGCTGTGTGACTGCGACCTCGGCTCTGCGAGAAGGGTAGGCAACCAGGTACCCGGGTCGACGTGGGACATGCACAGAGAGCCGCGCAGCAGAGTTGCCTTGTGCCCTCCCGAGCTGTGAAGCTGCTGGGGTCATAGAAGGAGCGGGCGGATTCGAACAAAGATATGAAGATTGGGGGATAGAAAAACCCACTACGGTAGGTAGGTGCAGTAAGGTTGATTAGGATTTTGCTGATCACTCGAAGAAAAAAATTAGATTAGGCCGTCACATTTGATATACTCGTTAAAATGATGGGGTACGCTGTAAGAATTCCTCAATCAAGAAAACCTCAAGGCATCATCTTTCACCTGAAAATTCCTTTCGTAGGGGATGAGCCGGACGTTTGCATATAGTCTACTGAGACACACCGAAGGGATTCAGTTGCCATTCATCGGTAAACAGGCAACTAGCGAGAGATGGTTGTCCATTGCCTCCGTATCACAAGGATTCCTGCGTCCAGGACCTAGGCTTTCGGTTTTCTTGTTTCGGGCTCAACGCACAGCAAGAAGCAAATAAGTCTCAGCCCACTAATCCACATGCTGTTCAGGCGGGATCTGAGGTGGAAGTGCTTCCCTGTTGGAGACTTTGCTGGGCCGGGGAGGAGCCTCAGGTTGGAGTCCGTAGCATACCTTCTGCAGTGGTCGTACTTGTCCATATGTTCGCTTGTATATGAAAATTAGGCTGAACCTCACAGATGCGTATCCCAACATGTTTTATATATAACTGCCGAACATTCAGCCTTTACCCATGGGCATGTTTACAAGTGAAAATTGTTATCCATAAGACAAGCTCAGTTGCTTCAGTGTCAACTGTATAACAAGTGATCATGGTCCACAAGTGTATTAAAGGAAAAAATACTACCACTTGTCTTGCTACATGAAACGACGAATCATTCAACAATCCAGGAATGATACAGTAAAAGATTTCTTCTTCTGTTTTCTTCGTTCTTCATCAAATCAATTAGGAGGCTTCCCGGTGCTGAGCATGTGTCCGCTCGCCATGCTGCATCAAGAACGGCGAGCCTTGGTGTACCTGAGACCGTCATAGCCCTCCTCTTCGCTCGGCTCATAATGAAGCCTCCCGCCCGGGGCACTTGTGCTACTACGCTCCCCTGAAGTCCACCCCCCCCTTCCCGGTGGTGGAGAGGGAGAGAGGGAAAGACGGGGGGGGGGGGAGAGAGAACCGTGATAGGCTGACAAGAGGCCCTAAGTTCAAATGTGTAACATGACGTGCCGTGTAGAGAGCTTTCTTGGCAATTCCATAGGCTGCTGTTGGATGAACTACGGACTATGTTGATTATGAGCGGACGGCCGAAAGTTGGGCTGCTGGTGGCTGTCCGGCATGCTATTGGATATTACATAATTGTCAATGTGATCCGCTTTGCTGTTGCTGATCATGCACTTAGAAGGCCTGCAGTCTTATACAGTCAGCTTAGAGCTCGAGATGCAAACGTGCTTCTGACGACTCGATTGTATGATTCATCCGTGCGGGCGTCTTTGCTATTACTCTGTCTGGCTGTCATAACAATGGACTGTGGAAAGAGACGCGATGTGATATGCACCTAGGAACTGGTATCATCTCTCATAATTGGACTTGGGGAATTTGAGCGTATTTCATTCCTCTCCAGACTGGAGGATTCTGATTGTGACTTGTCAGTATATACGGAGTAATAAGTCTAGGGGACCGAAAAAGGCTGGGCTAGAATTTGTATGTGAGCGGATGAATCGGCACATCCGAGCACCCCATTACTAGAAGACAAGTGAGGGGTGGTGTGGTGTGCATTATACTTTGCAACTTGCCAGTTGTGGGCAAAAGACCTGATGGAACGTTGCGGGAGGCCAACGATTGATACTGCGCAGCTCGGGGTCGTACAAAAAATGCCCTTTGAGACCGATGCATCTTACTGGTCAGTGGTCACACACACACTTTCTCTCCTTCTCTCTTTATAGGTTTCCCTCCTTGTTGGTTTCACATGTTTTGCGACTAGATTGAAAGGATCAGGTGCCGCAGGTTCACAGAGTGCTATGTGCGACAGTCTACGCACGGTGTGTTCTGAGACCTTGGCAAGATGACGATCTTTTGTTTCTCTTAATATTTTTTCTTCTTTTCTTTCTTGGTCCTTTTTTTTTTTGCAACGTTTTACGCTGTTTTGCCGTCTCGAGAAGATGATGATGTGCAGTCTTTGGTGGGACTGTGTCCACTTCGATACGGGATATGGGCGACCCGCGGGGACTTCTCATTATGTCGTTTAAGCTTATCAGGCGGGGTCGTCAGTATGCCCTAGCTCTACTGGGCAGTGGCATGGTCAGCCTATTAGGGTGCAAGCTTGGGCTCTCTCTTCAGGGCTGTTCAAACAGCCGAGCAAAAGCCTTTTCATTGGTCTCATCATCATTGTGATATTTTGGACTCTTGCAGAATGTCTCAGGAAAATACCGTGCTTGATGGAGGGGTATATGCTGAATGGTGGGTTAAAATGTAGGACGTCGACCGACCTGAGAGAAGTAGGAGGGGGAGTGGCCAGCGACAGTGGGGTGCTTGGTGCATCGAACACTCCACTTTCCCAGCCACCTACCTGCCCTAACCATCCAAACTTCGCACTCGACCGAAGAAGACAGAGAACAGAAGAAAGAAAATGGAAAATCAGCTGCTGGCTAGATGCGAGCACAGTCAGCCGTCAGAAACTTTGGAACACGATGACGCTACACGAGAAAGCAGCCGCAAAATTTTTTGGATCATGCGGAACCTCACTGATGCGTACTTGGTCTCTCTTTCTCTCTCTTTTCCCAAGATCGTATTGATGGCACCACATCCAACCAAGGTAGGTGCCTGCCTTGACCCATGACTCCCATTGATCATCACAAAGAGCCGAGAGTCAGGGGTTGGTTGGCAAGTAAGGTCGACCACTCTGGGTTCCTCCCCTGCCTGTAGAATCCATCTTCAACCACCCAGCCCACCTTTTCACGCTGCTACTGGTCGGGTAGTCCTCGTCGTTACCAACAAACAGAAGCAAAGTCCTCTTCCGCCCAACCACTCAGCCTCTTGGACCCTGGAATACCGATGCCCTGGGCCGCAAGCTGCCCCACCCATGCCATGTCTTCTGCACTTTTTCCCACTACCGACGCCAACAACGCCAGATCCCCAGCCCACCTTAAAAAGGCAAGAGCGGAGACTCCGGCAACAAAGTCGCTGGATGGGCAAATATTATGTACCATATGCAAGTAAATTATGACTGGCTGGGTCGTAGTCAGCAATGCCTTCCTCACTATCCCTCATGGCGACTGCCAGACGGGCAGTCCCATTACTTCGAGGTGACTCAAAGGAAGAGAAAGAGCCCAGAAGTGAAATCATGAGATGAGTGGCAGCCCCAAGTGCTGCTGCTTCTAGCGGCTTATTAAGGTCGATGGTAAGGCTTTTCGTGTTGGTCATAGTACGAGCTGTACCATTAAGGCCCCGCTCGTTCTTTTCCCAGGGAGGAAAAGAATATTGAGGCTGGGGCGACATAGTCTGACCTCTTGACGAGCACTAGGAAGGATCTTAGTGCAGGCAGGTAAAGGGTCCTTTCCCCAGTTTATACGTACTTGCTGTACTGTACTGTACACCACCACCAAGGTGCTCACCACACCACACCAACAGATCTCCCCCCCCCCCCTCACCCCCTTCCCCCCTCCATTGAATACACACATACAAATCCACACCCACCCACGCGCCAAACAACACGATGATCGGTACACACACGGTGCCCCACACTTTCTCAGCAACATGTTCAAATAAATCCCCTACCGTCTCCTCCTTCCCAACCCACGGATTGACACATGGTTGTTTCCCTTCCTCATAATCTCATCCCCCTTCTTCGTTGTCACTCTCTATTTATTCCTACTGTGACTACCATAAATTATTACTTGTAAACATCACTTGCTCTGTTTCTCCTTCACCAACACCATCACCACCACCCATTCACTTGGCCTTCCCTGTCACTGCTGCTGCTCGCTTCAGTGTCTTGATACCGACCTTCAACCTTAATATCTTGAGACACCCCAATCTCCTCCTCCTTTCTCGGCTTCATATACAAAATAGGAGCGCAGAGAGCAAATCAACAACGGCTCGTTCTTGATCCTGCCTCGGGCTTTTCAGCAAATATAGAGGAGAGTAACACTCGCGTGTCTACACAACAAAGATGGGTTCTCGACTCGTCTCCGTCACGGCTGTTTTGGCTTTTGCGGCCTCTGCTGCTGCCCAGATCACCAGTGCCTGTAACCCCCTCAAGGAGGGTGTGAATGGTGAGTTGTCACGAGATGATACCCCTTCCCACGCAGCATCAGCTCGGAGCTGGCTGACACACGCAATCAATAGCCTGCCCTGTCGACCCTGCTTTTGGCTCCCAGCAGGTCACCGTCGACTTCACACAGGGTGCAAGTGACGTCTTCACCGAGGCCTCGGGCTCCGGCGTCACATACGGCTCACAAGGCGCCGTGTTCTCCATTTCTTCAGCAGGCCAGGCCCCGTCTTTCACCTCAAACAACTACCTCTTCTTCGGCACTGTCGATGTGACCATACAGGTGGCTGCAGGCCAAGGCATAGTCACCACATTCTTCCTGGAGAGTGACGACCAGGACGAGATTGACTGGGAGTGGCTCGGAGGCTCAGACAAGAACTCGTTCGGCCAGAGCAACTACTTCTCCAGCCACGACATGGCATACGGCGTGAACGAGGTCGACCTCAGCGTGGCCAGCCCCCAGACCGAAACCCACACCTACACCATCGACTGGTCCCCGACAGCGCTGGTCTGGAAGGTTGACGGTACTGCCCTCCGAACCTTGACCTATGCCGGCAACGAGGACGTCTACCCACAGACCCCGATGCAGGTCAAGCTTGGCACCTGGTGCGGAGGCTGTTCCAGCGCCGAGGGCACTGTTGAGTGGGCCGGCGGCAAGCCAGACTGGTCCCAGGCGCCCTTTGTTGCATACTACAAGACCGTTGTGATCCAGGACTCGTCCAACGGCGTCGCTGACGCCGTCTCGTACCAGTACACCGACCAGTCGGGCACCATGGGGAGCATCCAGGTCAACACGGGCTCTGGAGGCAGCAGCACCGGCAGCAATGGTGACGGTAGCAGCAGTAGCGTCAGCGCCAGCACCAGCACTAGCACCACCAGCGCTGCCTCCTTGGCGACCGACAGCGCCGCCAGCAGCACTCAGAGTACTGCAACGACATTGTCGACCGTCGTCGGGTCGTCGGCTGCCGACACCACCAGCTCTGCATCAGCTTCAGACACCACCGGCGTCACGACCACCCAGCTTGCCAGCCAGACGATCGGAACCGCCCAGGCGACGAGACCTGTGGCAGAGACCTCGGACTCCGCCTCTTCCAGCAGCCCGACGTCGGCGCCAGTGGCCGACAATGCGGGCCAGAAACCTGTCGTGAACTTGGCCCTGATCGGCACCTTCATATTTGCGCTTATTGCCCTTTAGAAAGGGTGTAATGAAAGACGCCGCGGTGAAAGCGCACGGCACCGATCAGTATATACAGTGTTCATCCTTCGGTTTCTCTTCTTTGCCATAAGCGGGTTCCGGCAGGTCAGGTCCCCGCGCCTTTGGTTTTACGTCTTTTTGTATCATTAATAGGGATTGGGCTCGGAGTTCTTTACGTGCTGGGGGCCTGGGATCAGGAAGATGAAGATTTTCCCTTCTTTTTGCCCCTTGACTTGACTTTGGTCAGGAGGTTGGCAAGGAGGGGCGCAAGCATTATGGATATGGATTGTTTGGTATCACAAGCTTATGTCGTGGCGTTGCCTGTCAAGAGGCAGAAGAGAAGCACGTCTTTCACAGGAATGTCAGGAATGAACAAAAGGCACGGCGCTACAGGCTTAGATGTTGATATCCCCATAGACAGTGAAGTATCACGGCAAACAAATTAATATAACATTGTACATGACTCTTGGAAGGGGAAGGGGGAGGCGTCTTAACAAAGCGAAATGTAACTGTACATTCTAGCCTGCCGTCCATGTGCGACAACCGCAGAGAAAAGAGGTTCACAGCAGTATCACATGTGAGGGGGGTGAACTGAGTGGTACCTTGCTCAAGGATGGGACAGCTTCAACCACAGAGCTTGGTCTTCCGCCTCCAAAGAAACATATGTCTTTTGACAGCCACTTGTGCCTTTTCCTCTTTGATACTGAAAATTCGAAGAGGCTTTGACAAACTTTGTTGTAACAGTAGCGAGCAAAGACATAAATAACTGTCAATTACTTCAGCATTGAAGAAGGCCTGCTGCACCTTGAGGGCCAGACCCCTGCCAGGATCTCTTATCAATTTGATATGTCTAGCCGATAAGAACTTCTTCCCAGGTAGGCGGGACCAAATTTTTTTTCTAGGGGTCCCTCTTCCTCCTTGGGATGCGGATACGGAAATCCGCAAAAGTTGTGGTGGCACACGCACACAAGTACTTACTATCCTGTCTCTTTCTCTCTGTTGCCTCCACCTCACCTGGAGCTGAAGTATTGGCTGTTACTTCTACTGTGCACTCACCCACCCTCGGCATTGTATCATTGATGTCTGGACCGCCAGCTTGGCTTTTTACAAACAACGACAACGCTGCCACTACCACCACTGCCGCCGCCGCCAACAGCAACAACATCCCGTCTAACAACGACCAAAGCGCCATGGCCAAGTCCAAGAGCAAGGCCCCCGCGGCCCCCAAGAAGACAAAGGCCACTGTCGCAGCTCCTCCCGCGCAGCTGCTCGACCTCGTCGAGAACTTTCTCCAAGCCCACCAGCTCACCACCACACACGCCGCGCTGCAGCAGGAGCGCAAGGAGAACGGCTGGGCCGCGGCTGGGGGACAGAAGGGGAAAGGGCAGCAGCAGACTCTCGTGGAAATCTTTGCCAAATATAGCAGCAGCGATAGCGACAGCGACAGCAGTAGCAGCAGCAGTAGCAGCAGCAGCAGCAGCAGCAGCAGCAGCAGCAGCAGTGACGACGAGAGCGATGTGGAGATGAAGGATGCTGAAACACCCGCCAAGGGGGCGGCTGCTGCTGCTGCTGCTGCCGACTCGGACAGCTCCGACAGCAGCGACAGCGATAGCAGTGATAGCAGTGATAGCGAGGACGAGGCTCCTGCCAAGGCTGGGCTGGGATCTGCTGGGTCCGCTGTTCCTGTGCCCGCCGCCGCGGCCAACCCGCTGAAGCGCAAGGCTGCTTCCGAGAGCGGATCTTCCGACTCGGACTCGAGCTCTAGCTCTGATTCGGAGGACGATGATTCGAGCGACGAGTCTAGCAGTTCGGAGGACGAGAAGCCGCAGGCCAAGAAGCAGAAGAAGAAGGTGGTGGAGCCCGAGTCCTCGGACGATGAGTCCTCTGATGAGAGTTCGTCGTCGGACGAGAGCGAGAAGGAGGAGGAGAAGAAGAAGAAGAAGAAGAACCCGGCCGCGAAGAAGACGAAGGTTGCCGCCAAGGCTAAGAAGGAGAGTGTGAGTTTTGTCCCTTTTCTTTCTTCATCGCAACAGAATTGTCTATTGTCTGTGTGTAACAATTTCGGCCTCTGACACAATGTCGTCTATAGTCCGACGAAGACAGCTCCGATTCCGACAGCTCCAGCGACGCTAGCAGCGAGAGTGAGAGCGACGATGACGACGAGACCCTCGAAAAGGCTGCCAAGACCAAACTCCCCGACTCGGGCACCTCAGACTCCTCCTCCGAATCCAGCTCCGACTCAGACTCGGACGCGCCCGCTAAGAAGGAAGCCTTCCCTTCCGTCAAGAACGGCTCCGACTCCTCCGTGACCATGGGCAAGACCTCTCCCGACATCTACCCGCCCCTGCCTCCCGACCCAACCACCTTCAAGAAGAACAACCGCGGCGGCAGCGGTAGCGGCCCCCCACCACCCAGAACCCAGAACGAGCCCTTCTCCCGCATCCGCAAGGACATTGTGGTCGACGACAAGTTCAGGTCGAACCGGTTCGAGGACAATGGCCACGGCTGGGGCCAGAAGGCACACGAGGACCTGATTGTTACCAAGGGCAAGGGATTCACCAAGGAAAAGAACAAGAAGAAGCGTGGGGCTTATCGCGGGGGGCCTATCGATATGTATGCACGCAATGGCATCAAGTTTGAGGACTAGGTTTGTCTCTCCTAGAGGGTTTGGTGTTTCACAGGGAAAGGATGGCATCGTGAAGAAAGAGAAAGAAAAAGAAGTAATCCCTGGGGTTAAAAACTGTCGGCTGCTTCTTGGCGGTCTTGGTAGACTCGAAGTGGGAAGTGGTTTGTTCGGGCAATTTGTTCTTGAGCAAAATAAGTATGCATTCGCGGAAATGGCTAACTGGCTTGTCTCACAAGCCAGTCGCATGTAAACAGCTTTCTGGCAAAAGAGAAAGAAGAAGAAGAAGTATTGTTCAAACACCTTTGTTTTCCCATGTCATATTTTGGAAGGCCGTATAGCGTTGGCTTGTGGCAATTTTTGGATTCGGCGCGAGGGCTCTGATGCAAGGGCGCAGAAAGAAGAAGACGAAAAAAGCTCAGGGGTGGAAACAAGTTTCTGAGTGAGCATTCGATACTGTCTTATTCTTTCTGTCTTTCTCTACAGTGGAGGGAAGTGCTTGATGATATCCTACATTTTCGTGGCGTTTAGAAAAGAGATGAGACGTCAGGTGGACAGATACTGGCTATAGAAGAGTATTGCTTTCCTCTTTTCTTGTTCAGAAATCTAGTAATCGATGAGGACATTACTGGGACATGAGATTGTTGCCAGGTCTTTATGCCGTGTTGATTGATTTGTTGATGGTTTTCTTGGTGTTTTTCTCTTTCTTTCTTTCTTGCTTCGCGGTGGCCTTCGATTCCTAGTATTTATTGCATGCAAGTGATGAGGACAGATTGGGTGTGGATCAAAAGAACATTCTGCACAATATGCTCTTATTGGATCTACATTCAGATCTAGAGGATATATATATGAATGCATTTTCCCCTCTTTCTTTCTTAGTGCTTCGCAACAACACCATGCGCGTCCGCCTGGGCCGTGATCCTCTTCTTGTAATCGGCCACGGTGCCGTCAAACTTCTCGACCGTGCCGTTCTCGCACACCCACAGGCTGGTGCATACAGTTTGCAGCATGGTCACGTCGTGGCTGACCATCAGCACACCACCCTCAAACTCCCGCAGGGCGTCGGAGAGGGCATCCATGGCCTCAATGTCGAGGTGGTTGGACGGCTCGTCGAGGACGAGGATCTGCGGGTTCGTCAGGGCCAGACAGGCAAAGGCGACACGAGACTTTTGACCTCCGGACAGCAGGCCCATCTTCTGCAGGCCGGTGGTGCCTGTGATGCCAAAGGCGCCGAGGGTGCGGCGGTACTCCTCGTCGGTCTTGCCCGGGTAGTTCTTGGCCATGAAGGAGACGGCGGACGTGGTGAGGTCGAGGGCGTCGACGTGGTGCTGGGCGAAGAAGCCGACACGGAGGCGGGGGTGCTGCGTGATGAGGCCCGACGAGGGGCTGAGCTTGCCGATGAGCAGTTTGAGCACGGTCGTCTTGCCGGCACCGTTGGGGCCCACGATGCCGATGCGGCTGTCGAGCTGCACGTCCAGGTCCACATTGCGCAGCAGGATCTTGTCGGGCGAGTAGCCAAAGGTGACGCCCGACATCTGCACGATGGGCGGCGAGAGCTTCTCGACTTCTGGGAACTTGAAGTGCACGCTGTACTCGGCCTCGGGCGCCTCGAGCACCGGCATGCGCTCGAGCTTCTTGATGCGGGACTGCGCCTCGGACGACTTGGCCGCGTTGTAGCGGAACTTGTCGATGAAGGCCTGCAGGTGGGCGCGCTCGGCCATCTGCTTCTCGTACTCCCGCTTGGCCGTCTTCTTGCGCTCCTCCTTGGTCGCGTAGAAGGAGGCGAAGTTGGCTCCCCGGTAGTAGTCGAGGCGCTGGCTGTGCTGGTGGATAATATCTGTGGCCACCTCGTCCAGGAAAGCCCTGTCGTGGGAGACAACGAGCACCGTGCTGGGGTAGCCTTGTAGGTAGTTCGACAGGAAGGTGATGGAGGGGACGTCCAACATGTTGGACGGTTCGTCGAGAAGCAAGAGGTCGGGCTCACAGAAGAGCGCCCTGGCGAGCGCGAGACGCATGCGCCAACCACCGGAGAAGGTCTTGGTGGCGAACTGCTGTCGTTCTGGCGAGAAGCCCAGACCGGCCAGGATGCTGGCTGCTCTTGATTCCGCCTTGTCTGACTCCATTTCTGCAAGCTTGGCCTGGACGTCGACAAGTTTCTGGTCCTGGGCCTCGCGATCACGGTCTAATCTCGCTGCGTCTTGTGATGTGTCTGCCATGGTAGACCTCTGCTCTTCTATCTCGGCCAATTTCCTCGTGATTTCCTGCGTCCTCATTGTCAGAATACCACAATATCACCTGAATAATCTGAGATGGTGGAGAGAAGGGGGAAATACTTACAGCCTCATCCCTCAAAAGCACCTTCCGCCACACGTCTGCGTCAAGGACAGCTTGTATCGCGGGAGTATCGTCACCAGTGATCTATAGACAAGGTCAGTCTGTCTGTTTCCAAGCAGTTCGGGTGGGACTTTCGACGTACCTCTTGCTCGACGTGAAGAATAGAGATATGCGTAGGGATGGGGACCTCTCTGCGAGACAGGGCTCGCAGCAACGTAGATTTACCAACACCGTTGTTACCGACCAGACCATAACGATGGCCGTACGCCAGGGTAAATGTTGTATCCGTCAGGATTCTCTGGCCACCAATGGAAACGTCAATGTTGTCGATCTTGATGTCCTTGGACTTGCCACCAGAGCCGACACTCTGCAGTGGATTGACAGCCATGTAGAACTCTTCATAAGACTGGGTCGAGTCTGGCTGGTCGAGCAGCCGCGAGGCCTCATACTCGACCGTCTTGAAGGTCTTCTTCTGCTGTTTTGCGGCGATCTTCCGCTCTGCCTTCTCCAGCTTCTTGCGGTCAACCTTGGACTCCACCTTCCTGGCGTTCGCAGCCTCGAGGTCCACAGCACCGGTAGCCACCGCCAAGGTAGATGACATGGTGTTCTGGGCGCCGACCTGGATGGTCTGGTCCAACCTCCGCACCGTAGGGCCCATTCGCTCCGCGGACCCAGTGGCCTCGTCATATTTGGTAACCCATTTCTCCACCAGCTCCCGGATCAGGTCCTGTTTCTTGGCGTCTGCATTGCCCGAGGCGGAGAGGAGCAGCTCCGTCACGACAGAGGCGGCCTCGGCGAGCGGAGACGGGCCGGCCTGGTCCTCGTCACCAGCCCAGGAGGTTGAGGCATGTGTGAGATAGCCAGCCGAGTACTCGGAAACGACCGGGTCGATGTTGGGAATGATGGATCTAATTTCGGACTCCATGGTGGAATTCTTGGTGGAAGAGGTCCCCGTAAGGATGCGCTGAGAATAGGACTTCTGCCTTGCTGCAGTATGCTGGAGGTCGGATGAGCTCGTGGTGGGGTGGACCGCTAGGTGAGCAGAATGAGACTGTAGGAGACACACTGGGACTCCAATTACAACAGCATATAACGCTTAACCAAGCTCCGGGTTACGAGCGTGTCCCTGGAGTGGTGGTGATCTTGGCTCACGGCTGCTGCTCTCTCCCGTTTTCTTCGCTTTCTTTCCTTGGATTTCTCTGCCAACTTCGGCTGAACACAGCTTCTCAGTGTCTGGTGTTCCGATATGTGCAAAATGATACGGTTCGTCGTCGGTCCAGGTACAATCAGTCACTTCTCCAGTGACTTATCGTGGCCCTCTTGGAGTTCAGGTTCAATGTTGGATGAGGTTGAGTTTGAGAGGCTGTTGCCCCACGTGGGGCTATTACAGATATGGCATAGTAGCGATTTGCTGTCCAGTAGCCGCATGGACGCATCGTTGAGCACAGAACATAGACAAGCACGCACTCGGCACCTTCCATCCCAACCCAGTGACAGTTAAAAAACCATCTCGTCGTTTCTCTGCTTCAACTACCAACCAGCTAGCTAAGCACACTTTCCCATCCAACCACGCCCTCACAACGGCAACTCCTTGGCGCCAGCGAACGACCCCTGAAATGTTGACAGCTGCCGTCACCACCAGGCCAGATTGCGGTCGTTCATCCGCTTGAATTCAGCTGCCGCCCGTCGTCAGATCCCTGCCACAAGTGTCTTAGCAGTGGCGCACGCCAACCGGCGGGTCCCTCGAATTCGCTTCGAGTCGATGGGCTTGATCATATTACGTGCAGCAAGCCTAGAGAGTCTGCCACAACCTCGTCACTTGTCATCCGCAGATACTTCCTTAATCGGGCATTGTTTGGTCGCCGACGAGTCCCTCTCTCAAAGGGCGCGGCCAGCCACCCGCAAAACCTAACCCAGGAAGCTTTGCCCAGCGACGACCCAGGTGTGCCAAGAAGAACGCCTCACGGCGCAGACGCCAATACGAAGCAGGCTTAGCCCTCGTCGCGTGCAGCCGCGTCTAGCAGGGACCTCGCGTCCCACAGTCTGACCAATAATGGCGTGCTCGCCTGGTCGTGACAGATGGATGGGAGATCCCAGGCTGCTGTTGGAGCAAGGCACATCACATCTACCCCAACCGAACCAATCACCCAATCTGATGGCTGCATCGGCTCATGACGCAAGTCCTCCAGAGTTGCATCCTTGCTGCAAAAGGATGACGATCAGCCCGCAGACGCAGAGCGTTGCTATTTACGTCCTACATGCTCGATCTCCCAGTCTATCGGATACTCGGTCTTGAACCAACGACAAGTCGTACCTGCAGGGCTGCAGAATATACGACGTGGGAAATTCAAGCACATCTGTGGCTCGTGCATGGCATTTTGTGGCGCTCTGATCTGGCCGAGAGAGCCCCGAGTAAATTCGGCCTTGGGAGGAATAACAAACAACATCCACCCCCGCCAAAGGACGATCTGTCTCGTCTCAGCTTATGCCGTGATATCCCTGTTTCCACACACCCACCAGCACGCGCTGGGACCTGGCTTCCTCAGGAGCCATTGTTCGCCGAGGCCCTCAAGTTCCTCTCCTGATCGCTTTCCCACCCCGCATCTTATACGAAGGGAATCCCTGGATGAATCCATCAAGACCAGAACTCAATTGACCAATGTCAGGGCTCAGCAACGATCATACGGCTTCTCAAGATATGACTATATCAAATTACTACTATTGACACAAACACACCTGCACTCTGCCTTGCTGACACGTACCATAGAACAGCAGTGTTCAGTCAGGATAACCCAGCAGCGGTGTGCGGTTCGGCGTGACCTCGTCGCATCTCGACCATCGATAATCCCATGCATACTCACAGTAGCGCCAACTTTGTTTTGGTCTTCTGGGATGCAACGAGAAGACAACGCAGATGCTGCTGCTGTTGCTTCTGGGCCGTATTGTCTTCCTTTGGGGGATTGTTTTCATTCTATTTTATTACATTTTCCTTCTGAAGCCTAGGGCTGGGGCGCGGACAAGGTGTTCCGGTGATGTGACGTCGAGGAACCAAGGCTAGATCTGACCCTTTGTGAAGACCAGCCAAGCTCGTTCTCGTTTCCAACACTTCCGTCGTGCGATCCCCGCTCTTGGGCCTGCTAGCCATCGGGCAGGGCAGCCTTGGTCACACAGAGGAGGATGCCAGAGCTAGAAGGAAAGCTTTCAGGGCTACACCACATACAAACATCCATACATACATACAAGTCCTCATCTTGGAGATTGTCGGGTTATTCTTTCGGCGCAGCTCCCCCGTTCTAACTTTAGCAGCCGAAAGATCCTCGGGTGGAGACCACGGAGGTTGCCTTCCTTCCGGACTCAATAAATCGCGGCTTAAAAAGAGATCGAACATGGGCGTTCGAGACTCGAGCGCTTGGACCTCCCTTTCTTTAACCCGACTGGTTGAAGATTCATCGCGCAGCACATTCCTCCGCATCAGGTCGACAGGGAGGCACATATTTGAGGAGTTGTGATTGAAAAATTTGAACGCAGGGCGGGTGTGTGATGTCCGCCAGGAGCAAGGCCACGAGCCTTGCAAGGCCCTTGAGGGTCAGTCAGTCTCTCACACGCTTGGCATCAGCCCAACAGTTCCCTTAGCACACACAGACCCCACGCCTGTGCTTTTTTGGAGACACCCCTTGGAGCTGTTGACAAGATGCTGTTTTGTCAGCCACGCCTTCCTTCTCCTCTCTCGTGGATAAAATTTTGCAAAATTAGCAGCAACACCTTGTCACCTCGACGAGCCTAGCCCAGGAACTTGTGAGCGGACACGAGCCAGGCTCGGTCTGGTGCCGATCCGTGGCGTTGCAGTCGTGTGTGGCGCCATATCTTCTTCCACGGACGTCTCAGCAGAATCCCGATATACTTTTGTATCAGCCGAGCCCGTCATGATTTGAGACATGGAGAGGATTTCAGCCATCAGTTTTTCTCCCCAGGCTTCCATGCCCGACAGGATTCCGTTGTCATGACGACTTACCTGTGGCGTCCGTACCTGCGGTGGGGCGTCTCGTAGCCGCCTGCTTCAATGCATGCATGTGTGGGCAACATGCAGGCGCGGAGTTTTTCCCCAAGCACCAATCCCCTGTCTGACATTGGCTCGGTTGCCTGCCTCGCTTGGCCAACCTTCCATATAGTGATTGCAGAGACGTCAGCAACACAAATTTCCGGGCTGCAGAGAGGCGCTGGCGGCAGCGGCCGCGCCTGGCCTGCGTGCATCCGCCATGTGCGACGAGCCTTCTGTTGGGAATGCCAGGGGGGGGAAAGAAGCTGTAATAGGCTCACGACGATGCCCTTGCGTCTTTTTGATCGGCTCAGCAAAAGTTCCGGTGGGATCTTGTCCCCCTTCAAATTAATAATTCATCTAATTATCTGCAAGGCTGCTTCCTCCTGCGCAAGGGCGAGGTTTGCCATCCTATGCCCCCACAGTTCTAATCCGAAACAATGGAATGGCGGGGAGATGTGGAGGCTGGGCGAGACAAGACCCCACCCCGACTGGGCAGAAAGATCAAATCTTGCCTCTACCACGGTAGCCGGGTGCCGAGGGTCCTGCTCGCGACATTTAATCTTGGAGAACAGAGACAACTGCTTGACGAGGACAGTTTCTCGAACACACAATGTGCCTCTCTCTCTATCTCTGCCTGCATGGAACAAGAAAAGTGAGCTGTCACGTGAGACAGAACCAGGAGAATGCAGTGAGCAAGTGAAGTGGGTGGCCAACACTGATGCTGACATAAATGCAAAGCCCCCGCGCCCACCATGACTGCCGGACAGCATCGGAGCGGCGGGTCGCCGTCGCGGGGACGGGAGCCCGCTTTGGCCATTTCTAGCTCCTTGCTGCCTTCGTTTTGCCTTGTGAAAATCCTTGCCTCCCTGTGGGGGGAGACGAATGGCGATTTCGTTTCCGATAGCAGGTTCAATATTGTCCGATGATCCACACCACTCTCACTCGTTACCTTCGACTGGCTGCAAAGTTAAAAGATGAGAGGTTTGCTTTTTTGGTCTTTGGTGAGACGCAAGGGCTCTCCGCGTCCCTTGCCTTCCGGGCCCCGGGGGAGCTGATCGTTTCGTACTGCTGCGTACTAAGAGCTTGGGGGGGGGGGGGGTGGGTGGCTGGGCCGATGAGTGATGAGCGAGAAACTCCACACCAGCATCATATATCTGAGGGAGCCTCGAATCGATTCTCTGGGGAAAAGATCAACATCCCGAGAGAAACCGACTATAGCGTACTGTACACTATAGAGTGACGGTGATGAAGCGGAGGGCGGAGAGCTCCCCTTGCGTTGCGAGACGAGCTTGAGACGAAAAGACGACCAGGCCGAAAAAGTCATCCATCCGATGCTGTAACGACGCTTGCCAAAGACCCTGCTACCGCCCCCATGGCGAGCATGTTTCTTTTCTTTCTTAATTGCCTCAATACCGGACTGCGGTTGAGTTGCAGAGACGGCCATGACTGGCTGACAGCTGCTGTGAGCCTCATTATGCGGGTGTAACCGCGTCGCTGTGTGACGCTGACACTGCCCCTCGCCGGCGGGGTGACCAGGGGTAGAAGAACAGAGCGATTTCTTGCAACACAATCATGCGATGCGGCGGTCAAGAGATAGATGCCAGGTCCACTGCTCTTCCTCTTCTTCCTCGTCCTCCTCCTTCTCCTGCTGCTGCTGCTGCTACAAGACTGATGTGAAAGGGGCAGACGGATGGTTTGTAACCGTGACAGCCGGGGGGTGCGAAGGGATGTCACAGAGAGGCATCACTGACAGGCGGTCCTGCGCGCATGTTCGGTTTCGTGCCTCTCTCTCTCTCTCTCTCCCCCGCCCCCCCCCCTAGTGTGAGCCGAGTTGGTTTCTCCTACACGTGCAGCGAGACCTATGCGAGGTGTATGTAGCTACCATGCAGATGTGGGCAGGGGTTGTTTTCCATCTCTCGTCAATCGGAAAAAGAAAAAAAGAAGAAAAGAAGGGAGGGAAGGACGAAAGAGGAAAAGAAGCAGAAACCCAAAGCAACCCCCTCATCCACCCCAGGGCGAATGACGAAGTCGACCACAGATCGTGGCCATACTACGTTGCTGCCGCCTGCACGCACAGCGCACAAAGCAAATAAGTGTACCGCCTACCCGACGATCCCGTTGTGCTCTCTTGTCCTTGAATGGCTTCGTGAGGCGGGGTCAAACGGAGATGCCGGTCTCCATTCTGGAGCGAACGAGGAGTGGTTGGACAAAATAAAATCAAAAATCAACCCAAAAAAACCTTGTTTGGTCTTGGTATCTGAAGCCTTATTTTTTCTTCTTTCTTTTCCTTGGATTTATACTTTCCTTTCTGTCCCGTGATCGTTTGTCCAGCCTGCGTCGTATCATCACTTGGCTTGATCTGGGAGGTGAAAGTGAGAGGGAAAGAGATATGTTTTCCACGTGATCTTGCGGAGACGAACAAGACGAGGGTTTCACAAAGTCATTCTGCAACATATATACATATAATATAGATAGATATACGTATATATATATCTTTTGGTGATACCAGGCTAGCTGGCCACACATACACACACACACACACACACACACACACACACACAATTACACACACACCTCTTTCTAGCTGCGGTGGAGCATTGCTCCTGAAAAGAAAGGGAAAGAAAAATACAAGATGAGGACCGAGCACGACCGTTCAGCTAGGCTAACCTCTGTCACAGCCGTCGTCGCTCTAGTGCTGCCCGTGGGTTTGCACGATGTGAGCTGAACTGCCACATCCAGCCCTGTCCCGTTGCCGGGGCCTTTTTTTTTCTTCCCAGGTGGTTTTTTTTAGTATGGTTAGAACCGGGTCAGCCTTTTGCCACGGCACCAAACCATGCACGTACGTACGTATGTATATATGTATGTATGAGAAGGAGGGGGGGAGAGAGAGATCCGTCATTTACAGTACGTTTGACCATAGTAGTAAAAACTATGGGTCCTACCAAAGTTTAATACAGCCGCTCCTTGCTTCGCTGCACTGGCGGGGGGCCGCGAGACCGTGCAGAGAAAACGGAGGTTAAGAGAGAAAGAGAGAGAGAGAGAGAGAGAGAGAGAGAAAATGGAAGCGCCCTGTTGGAAGGTTTTACGAATCTCAGCTGCCCAGCCTACTAAGCTCGAGCAGGTCTCTTAGCTCCGGTATTATGAACTCGCATCTCCGGGCCATCATGGCGAGGCTGCCAGTGGAGTTTGCGGGGGCTAAGTGGGAGAGGAGCGAGGGAGTTTCGTCGTCTTTCTTGGACGAAGCAAGGGCCGGCCGGCCCTTGTCCGGGCTGGGGGGGGGGGTTATGGTAGTGTGTCACGGAAATCTTTCAATGGTCGTACCGGGAGAGAGCAAACCTGTGCTGGAAACCACTCATTTTTGAACGAAAAGAAATAGAGAGAAAGAGGGGGGGGAGGGTTATGAGATCTCGATTGGGATTTCCTGCTTGATTTTTCCTCATTCTCCATCTTCTGCCCTTCTCCCCTTTCCCAGTCCCATCATTATGTTGCCTAGCTTGGTACGGTATTTTCTAAATGGCATGATGTGGCAGTCTTGAGCTAGCCCAGACGTGGTCCACATTGCGGTGTTCGTGATGTCCAGGCATGCCGGGCTCATCCAATGGCACCTGACCTGCCCCATAACTTAAGTACTTAGTTGAACAGGTGGACTTGGCCATGTGTGTGCATTGTTCAGGTTTTTGGTTTTGTTTTTTCCTTTTCGGTCAGAAAAGTCCTTGCTTCTTCCATCCCCACCACTAACCCCGGCCAAGTCTCCCTTCGCCCATCCACATGAACACTGACACACAAGCAGAGGATCCTGTCTGCCAACTCATCGTTCATGGCGTCACTCTGGCGGGCTGTCGGCAGTATGTCATGGACGGGGGCCGACCCTGCTTGGGTCGCTGAGGTGATGGGGATGCGGCCTGTTCAGGCCTTTCCGAAACCAGCAGGGCCAGCTGTGTTCTGTTCTTGCGGTGTGGGGAGTTGTATACATCTGTTGTACTAGCAGTAGTGGGAGGGTGTGTGGTTGATCACGTCTTCTACTCCAGCAAAGAAGGAGGGGAGGGAACTAGTATTCAAACCTCGAGATTGGCCGAGATTTGACTGGGCAATGGTGGTCCTTTTTTTGGTTGCTGGGAACAAGAAATCCCATAGGTCTCAGCCTGGTTCGCGCTAGCATCTAAGTGGGGGCTCTTTTTTTGCTTTGTTATTTTTCTCTTCTCCTTGCTTTGACCTTGAAAAAGCAAGATCGAGAAAAGAGAGGAAATTCAAGCTTTCTTTGGCCGCAAAGGAGGGTGAGATAGAAAGGAAGAAAAGGCGGGTGGTGAGTGGACGAGAGGCAGGGGGGAATCCACCCGATGACGCGCGTGAGTGGCTGCTGCTACTGAGTCCCCAGCCAGCCCAGCCTGCTGCATTACTTGCCGTCGTTATGCAGGAGAGATGCGTGCTGTAGGATCAAGGGTGGGAGAGCCCACAGCCAACGGTATGTGAGAGATGGGATCGTGTCTGAGCCAGGGCATATGCATATGCCCGCGCCCATGGTGTATGACTCCTACGTAAGAGGATGTCTCGTACTGCGTGCTTTTGCTGCTTCTTCTTCTTTCCCTCCGCCTTCTGGCCGCCTGTTGTCTTGCGTCTCATGCGTGAAATCCTGTGCTCAGGTACAAGTTTTAAGACAAGGCAGGGCGTAATTGTTTCCAGGGCTTGCAGTTGGTCAGATTTTACATAAACTGGTACTTGAGAGAAAATTTCCGATCCCGCGATACCAGGAATAAGCTGGTCCCTCACTCTCCCTCGGCCCACAGAGGAATGAAGGTTTGATGGGCTGTCATGTCAACGGGCCGTTCGTGGTTTGTTGTTTTGTTGTTATTTGGGGGTGATAGACTAAGCCATCACCTTCGAGGCTCTGCTGTGTGAGATGACATGCTTGAACCTTGGTCCTGGTCGCGTACCTAGAAGAAAGAGAAGAAAAAAACATGTCTCTCATGTTTCACAGCGAGGCTCTTGAGATTTCTGGGACCCGCCCCAGCATGTTTCCCGTCCTGGCATGGTGCTGTTGTCTTTGTGGCGCGGGATCCCTGTAATTGTTTGTGTACTTATAGGTAAAATATCTGGGCGGGCCATGGCGCGAAGGAAAGAGCTAGGTGATGGCGCGCTAGGCTGCCAGTGGGGCATCTCTCAGTACCTGACCCGTGCTTGGGGAGACAGCGTTTATCCAGGTATCTGCTTACCTACCACCAGCTTGTTCCCTCTCTTTTCGTTTGTGCTTATAGTCCGTACTCCTGCCTGAACGGGGCCCTGTTTCCCGAAAATCCCAGCGCCCACCTCCGCCGCCCATTTTCCACCAGACATTTAGCCAACTGCTACTGCACTGTTGCTGTACCATTTACTACGTAGTAGTACCATAGGACTGGACTTGTTTCTCAAACAACCCCCCCGCGTGCACAGCTCGCATCGACAGGAATGCGACGCCAGCAAGCAAGGGCTTCCGTCCCGAGTTACACTGCGCTGTGCCATAGTAATTGACTAGCTGATAGGGGATAACACCTCGTTAGATAGGAAGACAAGGAAGCGAAGAAGATACAAAAACTGTATAGTCATTTGAACCTGCCGCTCCGTTGCCTTGGGAGAGGGCCGCCAGCCGCCAGCCAGACAGAAAGAGAGAGAGAGAGAGAGAGAGAGAGAGAGAGCCTCGAGTTCAGACTACTTAGTACTGTATACTCTACATAGCACAGAATTAGTAGGAATACCATAGTAAAAAGTACTGCGGGATACATGCCGCTACGGGATATCACCCATGCTCTTCGGTAGGGTGGGGCCTGGTCGCGCCTGGGTGAGTAACGTATACGGCGGTATATGCAGTACCAGCAGCCCCTTGTTTGATCTTCGTGCTGGCGCCTATCTGGACCGGGCTTGCCCTAGGCACACTGGCACAGTAGTTCCAGAGTGTGTGTGCGCCTGTGCCTGTGCCTGTGCCTGGCTTGTGCACGACATTACTGGAAATGACCACTTCCAAGCCAAGGAACGCGGGACACTCGACCGATTCCAAAACCCAGAAAATCTCCGCCTAATGCCACAAAAACAAATCTATCTCGACTCGGCAGGATTGTGGTTTAGATCTTGATCTCGACTCTCTTTGAGAACCCCAGCCCGCACGAGCTGTCGATCCTGTCCGATCCAAACCCCTCCGCCTCGTATTTTATCTCTCTCTCTCTTTTTTTTTATGTTCATGTCCTCCCTCAGAACAAATTCAATCCCTCTTCCAAAACAACCTTATCTCGACCCTATCCTGACGACTATTACCACCACACCACCACCACCACTACCACTACCACCAGCATCCTGGACCGTAACTGGTGTGTTGTATCCGAACTAGACCAGTTAACCGTCGATCCATACCAACCACTCCAACCAAACCTCACTCGACAAGCGGCAGCAGCAGCCACAACCACATCCACCACCAGCCAGGACGACGGCCCCCCCTCGTACCCCTTCTTCTTCCTCCGTCCCAAAACACTCGCTACGCCGTCTTCTCCTGCATGCAGCCTTAGCAGCGACCAGCGGCACCCTGTCCCTTTCCTTCTGATTGCTTGCTCAGCTGTTGTCCACAAGACCGCCGGCAGGATCTGGATCTGACAGGGACTCCACTGCTTCCTTGTGGACCCGCGGATACCTAATCATAGCGCAGATTTCCGCCCTGTGGCCTTGTACCTTTCACTCGTCCAGGTATGTCCCAGTCGGTCCAGTTCACTCTTGAGTGCTGGAACAATTGTTGCTGCTACTATGCTACTATTACTCTATCCATCCAAACACCATCCCTGACGTTCCCCCCCTCGCTCAGCTGCCACTCCTACTACCACCACCACCACCAATACCTCCTACTCCTCCTCCTCCTCCTCCTCCTCCTCCTACTTCCTTCTCTCTCGACTCAACTTCCGTTCTCTCACTCTCACGAGTGTTTACTCTTCAACAATCTTTTTGTTTTCTTGTTCTTTCCCCCCCCTTTCCCTCCGTCTTTTCTTTCCTTTCTTTTTTTTCCCCTTCCCTTCCCTTGCACTGCAGGTCTCTTGGCAGCCGTCACCGCCCGGCGTGCCCTGGCCTCCTTCGATCGTTGCCTCATTCGCCTTCCCTCCCTCACCTCCCGAGACAACGCATTAAAATCCACATATCCTCTCTCGAGTCGATTCCTCCTCCCTCTTCCCCACCCTAGCCAGTAAGAAGCCTCCCTTCCCTGAGTTGCCAGCAGCTCCTCCCCATCATCGTACATTGCATTGCATTGCCTGCATTACTGCTTGCTCCTCGAGTCGAATCACTCCAAATCCACCCCCTGCTGTGGGTCGTCCCTGACTGTCCCTGGCCGCTGACACAGACGAGCCGCAGCACAGCACAGCACACCAGCAGCCACGCCCACACTGCCGTGGAGCACACCAGCAGCAGGAGCACCAATTGATCGGTTGCAGGAGCACGCTGGTCCCATTTCTGCTTTGTTCACACTTCGATACTCGGAGAACGTGACTGAGCCTCAATTTCAACCTGGGCCACGAAATTGAACCCCTCGCCCCCGTCAGCGATATTCCTCCTCCCCTCCCTTTCTCTCGAGTGGACAATGCCATGACGATGCGAATCACGACCGCCGCGAGATCCCGATTCCCTTCAGCCCCGCCCCCTTCTCACGACGGCTTGGCCTCGTCCAGATAATCTGCACCAGACCAAGATGCAGGCTGTCCCCAGTGTAAGTCAAGTTGCACCCTACCTCGGCCCGCGTTGTTGCAGCTAGGGGCACGGTATAAGGGTGGAGGATCCCCTGCCGCAGCAGACTTGGGCGCATGCTCCTACCTAGCCTGTCCGTATGGCGATTCGTTGCCTTTCCCCCTACCAACACTTCCTTCAAGCCAAGGGCGTGATACAATACTTTGGAGTCCAACAACTGCTAATTTGGGCTTTCCTGCTACAACAGTTAGTTGGGACCGGCACCGTCGTTGCCGCTGCTTCTTCTGGCCTTGTCTTTGGCCAGCCCTCCGACTCGACCCTCCCCGCCTCTTCCCAACGACAATCACGGCCCTCTTCCCCCCTGGTGCGAAAAGTGTTTACCGACTTTAGTGTCGACAGCAGCTCGAGAGCCACGCCTACGCCTCCCCCAGCCTCGCGCCCAGGAACGAGCCCTGCGGTCAGTCTATCACAACTTGGCGACGGGCATTCCGGCCCCACTCATGACCACCACCACTGTGCGCCACTCTACTCCCACCCACTCAGTGGCAACGGCCAGCCAGCATCGGCGGGCAAGCAGGTCACCCCACCAAAGGCACCAAGTCGACGACAGTCGTACATCCGGGCAGCTGAGGTCGCCCCGAGCATCAACGAGAGTTCCCGAGACTCTTTTCAGTCCCACCAGAGCAGCTCCTGGATAAGGCGACTCTCCTTGCGGCCTAGTTCGCAGCAGGACAGCCCTAGGTCCAGTCTCGGTCCAGATTCGTCCATTTCCTTCTCTCAGGCCTCTGGCTCGGTCGTGCTCTCTCCTACGGTCTCATTGACGCCGACGGTACCGCCGAACAAGCTGATCAAGCGATTTGGGTCCACTCATGAGAGCTTGTTTGCCCGGCGCCAGTCCAAGGGAGAGATTCCGACCCTACGACGGCCTGCTACGAGCCACCAGCGGTCTGCCACGGTCCAGCAGCTGCCGGCCTCACCAGATACAGACATGCCGTTCGACAATATGTCGCTGGACCAGGTGTCACGACCCCGTGCCTCGACGACTGGACAGACGCATGCACCTCTGAGACTCCAAGAGCCCTCGAATTGGACGTCCTTCTTTCACATGAGGAGAGTGAAGACAGCCAGACGTGCGAACGTAAAGAGCCCCAGTGCTGAGAGCAGTCTTTTGGACTATCCCTTACCCAAGATGAGAATCCGTGTCCGGCATGGCAGTTTTCCTCGCCCGTTCTTGGTAAAACCGCAGTCCATATCGGATGCAACCTTTGAGGTAGCTATGGCTGAATCAGAACTGGATCGGCCCTTCACCATGGAGACGTCGGGTCGTTCTGAATTAAGTGCCCGGGACTCTGATCAGGTATTGTCAGAGCAGTCCGACAGCACCTCGACAAGGAAAGCTCGCCGGTCTCTCTCAACGCAGTTCAGGAAAGCCACAGCGGGCAGCCTACGAAGGACAAAGAGGAAGACAGACGAGAGTAGCGCGACGAGGCGGTATGCGTCCGACCCTACATCGTCTTCGACATCAGACGCCGCGCGGTCAGGCGACCGCGGGGCTGGAATTCACGAGCTCTTCACACCGCCCAAGTCTGCACACCGGGCTAATCAGAGTGTTGAGATGTCTCGATCTCATGAGCAGACGCGCGATTGCTCGTCACCCATACCTCCTCTCTCGCGACTTTCCACCTTCCACATGGATATGTCCCGTATGGGCCCTTCTCCGCCACCATCTGCAGGTCTTTTGACATCCAGCCCCACCCAGTTTAGTCCCACTGCTGCGCCTTTCGGCGCCCCAGTGTCGCTGCACAGCAGGGCCGTGTCGAAAGAAGGGGCATCCACCCTCGCCGGCTCTGAAATGTCGGTGCCTGGACTGGCTTCTGGAGATGATGATACGGACTACAGAAGCGATGCACTGTTTGATTCGTTCCGGACTACTGATACCAACAGGTTGAGGATGGTCGAGACGCCCCTGGACACGATGTTTGATGAGTCTTTCCCCGGTGCACCTGGCAACGTCAAGACGAAGAGATTATCCATCCAGGAGATCCTGGGCAATTCATGGGATGGAAACACCCGGATTCTCGAGGAGGACGAAGGAGGTTCGACGCCCCTGCGCGGGCTGCGCGGGCTCCGCATCGCAGACGACACCTACGATGCCGAGGATCGAGCCACCGAGATAGCCAAATACCAGCTCTCGATGGGTGACCGAGGCATGGGCACGGGCAGGCTCTCGTTGGACACAACAGACGATGACTACGACTGGGCCAGGGATGACGAAGAGGCTTTCAGCAATCCTCTCTCGCCACCTGTAACCTCTCTTAACCTCCGAAGGGGCCCCAGCCTTCTCCCTCTGCGGTCGGCGCTGTCCAGGATCAGTGACAAGAGTACTTCCGACGGATACACAGTCGCCAGTCCCAGCGAACGACCGAGGAGCAACGTATTTGATTGGAGCGAGCCTTCCCAGGAGAAGACCGATGACGGGGTTTCTAGACCCAGAACCGCTCACGGAAAGCAGGAGTCGGATCCTCGAGGGGGCCGGGCGTCCAACCGAAAAGGCTGTGCGCCTGCCCACATACGCAGCCAGAGCGTACCAGTCGTCCACGATGCACTGGAAACCACCAAGAATGCTCCCAAGTTTGGAACATGGGCCGTTGGTAACAAGAACGCCAGCGAGGAGTGGGACGACGACTTCGACTTTGACGAAGCAAGTCATTCCGGATCCAGCTCGAGACCTGCCAAGGGTCTCCTCATGCGTGTGCCAGAGTCTATCCGAGCCACGCAGCCGACTGTGAAGGCACACTCCGGCCAAATCCGGGAACTGTCGCTGCTCGTCAGCAGTCTCAAGCGACTCTGTAGGCAGGGCCGGGAGCTGAACTTGACTGGTGGCCAAGCGGCGTCACTGTGGAAGGAGGCCGAGAACATTATCTCCTTGGCATCGCCCGACGAGGATGAAGCAGAGGAGACCGATACGGACCGGAGTTTTTCCGATTTCGACCCATTGACGATCGACGAGCGCTTCCTTGACGAAGGGTTTGATGCTTCCACGCTGGACCGCTCAGAAGGGTCGACACACAGCACTGACCCGGACATCCCAAAGAATGCTGTGGTGAAGGAGAAGAAGGTGGCACGAAGACGTTCTGTCTTTTCCCCCGACGACGACATCTTCGGCAACAACTCATCCCTGGAGCTGCCCGCCCCCGCCACGCGGCCGCATACACCTCGGACGCCTGAGCGCGTGAGGGAATTCCACACACCTGACGGGACCGTCGTCTCGTCTGTCATCGCAGCAATGGAGCAACAGCGGTCTCAGCCGAACCGACCCCCAGAGTCGCCGCTGAAGCCGTCTACGGCCAAGCTCTTCTTTGACACAAACAGCCTCCAGGAGCTTGTGAAGCGAGCCAATTCCATTTTCCACACCCTGTCCGACATCGTGCGGCGGGAAGAGCTCCTCACCATGAGTCCGCAGGCTACACCCAGGCATGACAGGCACAGGCGTGGTGGGAGCCCAGCGTTTACGCGGGTCTTCTCGGGCCCCGATGAAGGGTCTCCCCGCCATCTGGTCAAGAGCCAAAAGAGCCATTCACCAATGCCACGAAGTTCACTCGAATCGAACGGCCTGAGCCAACGAATGCAGATGATGACGGTTAGCTGAAGGCCGGCACTCAACAGACACACACACACACACACATTTCATACCAAATTAATGTTTGATTATTCGCCACTCGGTGAAACCGATGGTCCTCTTGTCAGTCACACCAACAACGACGTCGACCATCACTTACACACGCACACACAACTATGTACATGTACGAATACTTAAAAGCTAAATCGGTTGCTTTCCCGGTGCCTTTTCATCCACGGTTCATTTGCATAGCACAACAGGGATTCTCAAAAAAAAGAAATTAAAAAAGAAAAAAAAGGGTGTAGCGGCCTGGCCCATGGAAGGAGGTCTTCTTTGGCACAACAGCAGAAGATCTGCTTGATCTCGCGTCTGGCCAGAACAGGCGGGATGGTACATCAGCAGCAGGTCGAAGGAGGGAAAAACACATTTTCTACTGTCCAAGGGATGAGGCTTTCTAAATATACCAGGTTGTCACCACAAGGGAATGGGCGGAAAGCCGGCAGAAACACGCACGGATAGCAAACCCGCGAGGGTGATGGTGGGCACTGTGAGATGGCCGGACTGGTCTCTTAGGATACTCGGCAGTCTCGGCCATAGGACCCAGGAATGGGCGGAGAGGCAAAGCAAGCAAGCAGCATTTGGCAAGTGTATGCATTACGGAGCTCACATCGGCTTTTGTAAGAAATCTTGTTTTCATCAATCAGTGTTGGTAGTCTTCATGAGTCTGTGTGCAGTGCGGGCAGAAGCGGGGGTGTTGTTCTTGAATGCCTTCGCAACCCGCTCTCCATCGCAATGCATGCACGCAGGCATGCAAGGAATTAGATCTCTATGACTACACAATCATGGTTTCTCTGGTACCTCTTGGATGATGTGACATGCTCCATTAATAGTGCCGTCTGAGATAGGACGTTCATTTTGACTACCCAATGAAAGGCACAGCATACATACATGAGGAGGCCAGCCAGCCAGCCAGCCTGTGGCGCAGAGTCTTTCCTGTCATGTCTCTCGAGGCTTCAAAATACGGTGCATGCTATCAATAAACTGGAACCTCTCAACAGCCGCAATGAGACAATGCAGGGGCAGACGAGTGTCAGTGTTGTGCCTCCAGGCACGGCGGCAACGATGTCCTTGGGTTGCCGCGCGCTAGTGCCAAGGGGTCGCGCACCTTAGGGAACTCCGGCGACGGCTTTGGCGTGTGTGTGTGTGTGTGTGTGTGTGTGTGTGTGTGGTCAGCATGGATGTACAGTATGTATCGGATGTGCAAAACCCTTCAGAAGCATGAGTAGTGATGATTGAGCGTGTGCGTTCCACGACGACGTGGTTCGTGGGTGGTTTGGGTTGTGCTTGAGAAACAGGGGAGGGGGCGCATCCGGGATCGGCGGGTGCCCTGTATGAAAATGATTGAATTGGGTGGTTGTGCTGGTTCGTTATGCCCGTTGCGTCAGTTTCTTGGAAACTGGGGTCGGTCTGACTGACCAAGAGGAGGCTTGCTGGCTAGGATGAGTTGTCGCGAGTTTTACAACTTTTGGTGTTGGTTTTGCTTTTATATTTAGTCTTCAAGCCATTACTCGTCCCAAGGGAGAGCGGTGGGGGAGGGAGGGGGGCAACTTTGCAGATGCAAGCCCTCGGCATTCATTTACATTTAATCTCGAGGGGGTTCATTTGGAGGATCTACCTTCCGATTATTGGGTAGTGTAACCTCGCCAGAACAGAAGACGAGGTGAGGTAGGGATGGGGGCGTCTGAAGATTTATGAGATTGCCATTGTTTTCATAATCTGGTCTCTCACGTGGTATGATATCTCATATGAAGGGAGTGTTCATCTCTCTCTCTATCTCGTCGCGCAGAGCACTGGAGCCAATGAGTTGAATTGGGTTTAGCCTATATTGTCTTTCGCCCACCACAACGTGGGGCAGAGTAAAAACAGCGAACTCCCCTGTTCTCGTGGCTGCCCATCAGCTAGCGTGGCACGGGTGCTGAGGCGGGGGCGCTGATAGTGAGCGGTGAGAGCAAAGCACAGCAGGGCAGAGAGCAGAGGTGAAGGGCGAAACGATGTTTTTGGGGGGGGGGGCCGGGCGGGCTCTAATCTCGAGGAGGTGAAGTAGAGCTACCCACTTTTTTGGCACCACTAGCCAAGGTAGAAGCAGCTGGTTGATTGGCTGTAGCTGCACGGTCCTTTCCTCCAAATCAAAAATCAACAAACCAGAGTCCACGCAGCAACCCAACCCAGACCCAATCTAGGCTGCACCACCCCTGATTTCCCCCCCGCCCAACCCTCACGCCGCCTTCACTAACCAACCATAACTGTGCGGGTGGTAGTACTGTGGTAGTGGTAATAGCGCTACTTTTTGCTGGGCGACCACAAACCAAAACAACCCTTTCACGCTTATCCCCTCTGGCCCGCAGCTCCTGTCTCTCGCCCTCGCTCCCAATTCCGCCATCCCAACCCAAAACACACATACCAGCAACCTTGCTGTCGTTTCGCGTCCTGTCTCTCTGGTATCGTCTTGCCTCTTCATTCCTCTCTTCTCAACACCAGACCATCGTCAACATGCGTGAGATTGTAAGTTTGAACCCCCCTTGGCGATCATCTCGTCCAGAAAATCCTACTCCAAGGGTCCTGAGACGCGTCGGTTGGTGCTGAGCGTCGGGCTCACCTTTCTCGCCTTTTTCGCATCGCCCTGCCATGCCCCTGAGCCTCAACCCCACTATCGCGACCTGCCCTCACCTTTGGGCCTCGATGACCTCGAGCACAGAACTGGATAGCAATATCGGAAAGACGCGTCTAGATGGCTAACATGATGTTTTTCTCTGCGTACAGGTTCACCTCCAGACCGGCCAATGCGTGAGTCGTACCCCTCGTCAAACACGGCAATCTGCCCACCGTGGCGGCGGCTATCTTGCTGCCTGGGGGGAGAAGGAAAAAAACCAACCAAACTGACACGTTTCTTAGGGCAACCAAATCGGTGCCGCCTTCTGGTGTGTATTTTCGACACGATACAGCTACATCGACATCGTGCAGCAGACTTGGATGCTGACCTCGACAATAGGCAAACCATCTCCGGCGAGCACGGCCTCGACAGCAATGGCGTGTACGTACCCTATCTCGGCTTCCCAAGCAAGACAGACGCGACTTGAGCTTTCCTGCTGACCACCACATAGCTACAACGGCACCTCCGAGCTCCAGCTCGAGCGCATGAACGTCTACTTTAACGAGGTATGTCTTATCGGGTGATCAAGCTCAAGCTTCCACCTCGGCCAACCCCCCCCCCCCCCTTTCCGGGGCCCTCGACTTCTGGTATAGGCGAGCTTCCTCTTCTGACGCGCTTCTTGTCCAGGCCTCCGGCAACAAGTATGTTCCCCGCGCCGTCCTCGTCGATCTCGAGCCCGGTACCATGGATGCCGTCCGCGCTGGCCCCTTTGGTCAGCTGTTCCGTCCCGACAACTTCGTCTTTGGCCAGTCCGGTGCCGGCAACAACTGGGCCAAGGGTCATTACACCGAGGGTGCTGAGCTGGTTGACCAGGTTCTGGATGTTGTGCGTCGCGAGGCCGAGGGCTGCGACTGCCTCCAGGGCTTCCAGATCACCCACTCTCTGGGTGGTGGTACTGGTGCTGGTATGGGTACTCTGCTCATCTCCAAGATCCGTGAGGAATTCCCCGACCGTATGATGGCAACCTTCTCCGTCGTGCCCTCCCCCAAGGTCTCCGACACCGTCGTCGAGCCTTACAACGCCACACTCTCCGTCCACCAGCTGGTCGAGAACTCGGATGAGACCTTCTGCATTGACAACGAGGCTCTGTACGACATCTGCATGCGTACCCTCAAGCTGTCCAACCCCTCCTACGGCGATCTTAACTACCTGGTGTCGGCCGTCATGTCCGGTGTCACGGTCTCCCTGCGCTTCCCCGGTCAGCTGAACTCTGACCTGCGCAAGCTGGCTGTCAACATGGTCCCCTTCCCTCGTCTCCACTTCTTCATGGTCGGCTTCGCCCCCCTGACCAGCCGTGGCGCCCACTCCTTCCGCGCCCTCACCGTCCCCGAGTTGACCCAGCAGATGTTCGACCCCAAGAACATGATGGCTGCCTCTGACTTCCGCAACGGTCGCTACCTGACATGCTCTGCCATCTTGTAAGTTTTCTTGTCTTTTCCTCGCAAGTCTCGACGAACGTCTTGGGCTGTTTGGCTAACCCTGTCTTTCTCTCTTCCCCTTCTCTAGCCGTGGTAAGGTCTCCATGAAGGAAGTCGAGGACCAGATGCGCAACGTCCAGAGCAAGAACTCGTCCTACTTCGTCGAGTGGATTCCCAACAACGTCCAGACCGCCCTCTGCTCCATTCCCCCCAAGGGCCTCAAGATGTCCTCGACCTTTGTCGGCAACTCCACCGCCATCCAGGAGCTCTTCAAGCGTGTCGGCGAGCAGTTTACCGCCATGTTCCGGCGCAAGGCTTTCTTGCATTGGTACACTGGCGAGGGTATGGACGAGATGGAGTTCACTGAGGCTGAGTCCAACATGAACGATCTCGTCTCGGAGTACCAGCAGTACCAGGATGCTGGTGTTGACGAGGAGGAATACGAGGAGGACGAGGAGATCCCTATTGAGGAGGAGGCTTGAATTATCGTCTGATGCGATGGAGGGGTGCTGCTGCCCGGGTGTGCAATGATCAAGGACCTCTTTTAAGCGGGAGTCCCTAATCAACATCATTGTACGCTATTTGTGGTACTTTACATTCTCAGCCTGCCACTATTGCGTGTCCCCACCTCTGTCTTGCGTGTGTGTGTGGATAGATATTCGATTCCGAGGGGTTCTGGTAATCGATTGACCAATCGTCTAAAAAGAGCAAAAGGGCAACTTTGGTTTTTACAATATACTTCTTATAGTTGACCCTCTTCCACACGGACCAAATTCCGAGCAAAGTTCTGTTGTGAATATGCATGTACTGCACAACCGGCAGTGATGTTGTTTTCTTACGTGACAAGGCAGATCTAATTACTATCAAACGTCCAACTGACACCGAGCTCATACTGAAGCTGGTTAGGGCGGTGATATGCACTATAGCTACCTTCGCATGCATATAGTCCTTTGCAACCCACATTCAAATCGTATATCAACCGGTTTCCGGTGGCAGAGTGCACCGCCCTCGGCGGTCGTCAAAGTCTGGGACTTACTGAGAAAGAGATAGGGCTTAGCTCTTCGTCCTGGTGTTCACTCATGTAGGTAAGAAGGCGGGGAGAGGGAAAGGAATTGTTGTGCTCTCCTGTCTGTCATGTTGATCAATTTTTTCCTTCCTTTCTTCTTCTCTTTTCCCTTAGCTGGGTTATAGACTGGATGAGTTTGTAGTCTTAGGATCCTCAAGATAGTGGTAGTGCAGAATATGAGCCTTGTTGGACTCGCGGTTGTTAACTGTAAGAGATTACTTGCAAGGCAAGTTTCAACTACTGATTGCGGTGTTCTTGTTCGTCTTTCATGATTGGTGCAAGGACTTGTGCTTCTCTTTGAGAAGAAAAAGGGGGGGGGGGGGGGAAGAGCAGCATTCTTCCCCTGAGTTCTGTGTGCTCGATCTCCTCCTTCAGTGAGTATTGATAGTGTCTGTAACTCCTTTCACACTTTGAAAGGACAGTTGAGTATTTGGAGAGTCCGTCTATCCCACTGGCGAAACGCTACGAGATGATACTTTAGTGAAATAAGTCATGTTTAGAGCACTTAGGTAGTCGAAAAGGTTAAAGTCAATATTACGATAAGTAGGCAACGCTGATTAAGTGAGATTATAGCCCCAAAAGTTTCACAACGTATCAGTTATTCAGTTATCCGCTGGACACCATGAACTTCTCGCGCACCCACCTGACAAACTCTTTCACCACAGTTGCACGGTGCTGGAGGCTTTGCTTTGTGTTGGACTACCAGGGCTCTCGGGCCTCAGAGAGAGCCTCCCAGAGTTGAGTGGTTTTGAGCTCTAATGACCGCTGAGAAGGAATGCGGTCGATGGACCGAGATGATGATGGATTCTTCGATGTCTGATAGTAAACGTAAACGACAGATATGAGTGGCTTCTGTCCTTCGGTAAGGAGAGTCCCCATTGTCCTCTCACCAATCATTCTCTTTTTCACGGCAGTTTTTATGTATTTCTATGTTGCTGGTCGTGATGCTCACCTAGCTCAACTGTCTGGCCCTTTTTGAAATCCGACATTGAGAACCATGATAGCACCAGCAGAAGACCCTCCACAGTGCTGACTGTGATGATGTGGTATTATACAGAGTCGATGTCGAAGGCAGGATGGAGAGATTGAATAACTATTTGGCATAGGTTTATAAATTTTATACTTTCCTGTTTGAGGGTCAACAACAGACTCGCGCGGTGTCCATCTGACGATCAAAACCCTTATCTTTGACTTTGAGCACAGAGTGGAAGCCTCTCTCATCTTCCATTATCCCACACCAAGAACAAGAAAAATCATAGGCTTGGTCGGAGTAAACACTACTCACGTCATGATGGACGAGCGGCGGGGACAGCGTAGCCACATTTCAGCTGGCGGGCGTCCCGGCGATCTCCACAGGAGAGGCAGTGGCGAGCCAGAAAAAGGTGGCGTTTGAATATCGATCAATGAGTAATCAACCCCGGTGGAAGAGGATGTTCTACACCAGGGTTGTCTCTATGTAAGCGCTCAGTCTCCTTGGACATTACGAGTGTAACTCGCGGGGGGGGGATCCTCACAAGGTTCACGGCGTTTGTGAGTGTGATCTATGGGGACAGCCTGGCGGCAGATGCAGAACTACTTTTTTTAGAATGAAAGAAAGAAAAAGAAAAAGAAAAAAGAAAAAAGAGATCGGATCATCTTGTGACGGCTTCGCAAAAGTTGAAGAAATGTGGTGTGTGTGGAGGGGCCAGAGTGACATTCGAACGGACCATGCCGGCAAAATCTATACTTACAAGCGCTGGTTGGTAGGCTATGGGTATAAAAAGGACGGGACAGCTGTCATAGGTAGTACGATCAGCCCTGGAGGATATTGTATGCGATCTTGGCCCGACATGCAGCATGCATGGTGGTACGATCCACACATGCATGCCTCTATAAGCGACTGCAACAGGATGATGATCCACTTTGGTCAATAAGAGAGGGAGAAAGAGAAAGAAGAAAAACAACCCCGGTAATTCGTTGTCCCTGCTGATAGACTAGAACATCAAACCGAGAAGAATAAACTATCTGCGTGTTGGATGCTGTCGAGCGGCCGATGCCAAGGACTGAGTCTATGGACGGAGAGGCCGATTATGAACTGTCAAGCAAAGTTGGACTGGGGGGGCGGTGAACAGGGATTCACTGCTAGAGTTGAGCTGCGTTGATAAAAAGGGAAGAGAGAGATCTTGGCGGTTCCGGGGAAGTGAATGCTGACGCCCAGCCAGCAGGTCGGCGGCTGCGGTGATGGACGACTCAAAGATCGTGGGCCTCCATGATGGCGTGCGTCATCTATGAATGGAAGTGTGATTAGGGGCATGCTTGGTGCGTGTTGTGATGGCCTCAACCCAACCCGACCCGACCCAGTCTTTTGTTTCAAGATGCTGCCACTCTTCACGCATTCACTGCTGTTGTGACCCGTGGCTGTCGTGAGATGGTTGAGGCAGCCTGCGCACGTTCTCAATCCACAAGAGTCCAAGAAAAAATGTTGCTGGCTGGGAATGGGGTAAGGATTGCAAAAGAGCGTACATACATTAATACGTATTGTACACTAACGAGAAAAGAGTGAGGATTGCAGTTTTGAGCAGCAACTGCAGTATGTGGAGACAGAACCTTTTGGGGGGGGGGGAGGGGCCCTGCCAGGCACAAGAACAGACAGGCCCGCCCTAAACCACTAGGCCACCAGGCCATCACAGCCGCCCCCTGGCCTGTGACCCTGTGCTATGGTGGTAATAGTAGGCGTATCGTACCTGAACTGGATGTCACCCCCCACTCTACGTAACGCACCCAACCATCATCCTATCGCGTGGGATCCTCCATGCTTCTTAGTTCGCATCTAATTGTCTGCACAGCCCACCACACCTCTTCCTCCCTTCCTCCTCTTCTGAGACTTCATTTTCTTATCTGATGAACACACATGCAACCACTGGATCGCTCACTACTGCACTCTTGACCGAGCCACCCGCCCCCGACCGCCGTTAGACCATCCACCTCAAGCGTGATCCGCGTACGTCGTGCGCAACCCTGAGCGTAACACACCAGTGTGAAGACGGGGGCCACTTAGTTCTTGTCCAGGCTCTGGCTGTTTGGACTGGTTAATCGAGCATCACACGCGGCCAAGGAAGGACCTTGCTCGAGAGGCTGTGGACAGCTGCTTGGACGCAAAGCGACTGACCCTCCAAGGCCCGCTTTCCAACCTCGCAACCCAGCGTCGCGTCTACTAGTCGAGCGCCCTAACCCTTTGAACAGCCTTTGTGAGAGCAGATCCTCAGCAGCTGGCGGCGCGTTTGAACGGCCGGCCCCTCAAAAGAGGAACAAAGAAAGAAAAGAAACAGGCCGTCCCATTATCTATCCTCGTCGCTACTTTGGCCTCCACCCGCCGGCTGCGCAACAAAGAGACCACTCACGACCCTGACTCACTATCATTTTTTTGCGGGGGAGGATCCAACTTGGCCTTCATGGGAGCGTCCTGCAGCTCTATAAAGGAGGATGGGCCGGAAGCTCTCGAAAAGGAATACACACAGGGGCCTCGCCTCCGTTATTTTTCCAAACCTGTCAATACGATCCCTTCTCGTCAGCACCCTTCCAGCGCCGTCACTGACTCTCGGCACAGCAAGATGAGCCGGCTCATAAAATCTAAGACTGGCGACTCCTCCTCCCGCCAGTGGGTCACCGTGGGTGCGCTGGACGAGATCATCGACGCCAAAGTGGGGACTGCCACCACCATCAGCAGCATCATCAGCAGCAACAACAGCAGCAGCAGCAGTACTGGTGCTGGCGTGGTCACGGTGACTGATTACCAGAAGCAGCGTGAGGAGCTGCAGAGGCGTGAGGGGTCCCTGGGTTTCGAGCACAAGTTAGCCAAAACGGCCTCATCCAAGGAGAAGGAGGTGGATGAGATTATCCGAAACCTGAGGCGGGATGACGACGAGAATGTCTTTGCTGTCGAGCCAACACGGCAGGGTTTCAACGGACAGCAGCACCAGAGATTCGCCGGGGACCATTTCCTGTCCAACAGGGTCCTGATCGATAGGTCCAAGGTCCTGAAGGTCGCCAGGAAGCTGCCAAAGGGCGCACACCTGCACATCCACTTCAACTCGTGCCTGCAGCCCAGCGTGCTGCTGGACATTGCCAGCAATATGGAGCACATGTACATCACCAGCGACTTGCCGCTGCTCGATGCCCAGGACTACCACAACTACAAGCGCGCCAAGATCCAGTTCTCCATCATGGCGCAGGCGTCCAGCACGGGAAACCTGTTCGACGCGGGCTACAAGGACCGCCAGGGAGCACAAAAGTTCAAGGATTTCTTGAAAGAGTTCCCCAGCCACCGCAGGGACCAGGACGCCATGACGTGGCTGCAGGAGAAGCTCGTCTTTCGCGAGGAGGAGGCGCACAACATGCTGCAGACGGTCTCGGGTGCCTGGGAAGAGTTCAACACGCGCACACAGATGATGAAGGGCCTATTTAATTATGAGACGGCGTACCGCGCCTACACACGCCAGTGCCTAGAGGACTTCGTGGCAGACAACATACAGTACGCCGAGATCCGCCCTAATTTCATGGACACCAACCAGGTGTGGATGGACGACGGGTCGAGCAAGATCGACAACATTGGCATCATGAAGATGATTATCGACGAGTACGAGAAGTTCCAGGCCGAGGCAAAGCGCAAACCAGGCGCTTACTTTGGCGGGCTCAAGATAATCTACTGCTGCCCGAGGTCATATCCCAAGGACAAGGTCGCAAATGGACTAAAGCAGTGCTTGGAATTTAAGAAGAGGTGGCCGCAGTGGATTGCCGGTGAGTGTGAAACCCCCGAACAGATGACCCCCACTCTCTTTTTGTTTCTTGCCCCAGTTTTTCTATGGACCGTCGACTAAGCTCTCCTTCCTCTCTCCTGCAGGATTCGACCTGGTTGGCGAGGAAGGCAAGGGCAAGCCCCTCAACTTCTTCATCCCCGAATTCCTCCAGTTTCAAAATGACTGCAGGGAGGCAAAGGTTGAGATTCCTTTCCTCTTCCACTGCGGCGAGACGCTGGAGATGGGCTCGGAGACGGATGGCAACCTCCTGGACGCTCTGCTCCTCAAGTCCAAGCGTATAGGCCACGGGTTTGCCCTCACCAGGCACCCCTATATCATGGAGCGGATGAAGCAGGATAACATCTGTATCGAGCTGTGCCCGATATCGAACGAGGTTCTGGGCCTGACGCCGCGGGCCAATGGACATGCCATGTACGCCCTGCTCGCCAACAACGTGCACTGTACGGTCAACAGCGACAACGGGACACTTTTTAAGTAAGCCGCCTTTCACCACCCAACCCTTTGCCGGCCTTTCTGCGGCCCACTTGCTCAAGCTCTCTGATATTAACGTGCACATCATCATCATTAGCTCCACGTTATCTCACGATTTCTACCAGGTCATGATCGGCAAGTCAAACATGACGCTGTTCGGCTGGAAGCAGCTCATCGAGTGGAGCCTAGAGCACGCGTGTCTGTCCAAGAAGGAATATGAGGCTATCCACGCCGCGTGGGCCAAGAAGTGGGAAGCGTTCCTAGACGAGGTCATTGCAGAGTTTGGGGCATCTGCTGTCACTGTCAAGACCTCATGATCTTTTCCTTTTGTTTTACGATACCATACAATTCCTCTGTCTATATTCGTGATGCTCGATCCATTAGATCGCGACGCATCCGGTATACTTTTTTATGTTCATTTTTGTGTAATGATCTTCTGGCGGCGGTTTGCTCTGTCTTGTTCATCTCTGGAGGCAGCGTCATGACATGCAGTACGATAGAGAGAGGGGCCGAGAGGGGGATGGTCGTTCAAATTCCAGGATTTATCTATGGCCCGCTGACTGTTTGACTAGCCTGCCTGTGCTTATGTGAGGGTGGGTGCTCTTTGGTATCACCATCTGTCGTCGTCACTACTCATCACGGACGATGAAACCTGTCAGCACCGGCACAGCTCGGCTTGCGATAGACCGTCAAAGTCCTGCACTGTTATCTCCTCTTTCTCCGTTACGGAATCCATAAGATTTGGCAACCCCCTGGCCTCTCTTTTTCTCTATCTCGATCCCCGTCCGCGGCATCAATTTTTACCGACTATTGCCTTCGATCCATCCATCCAGATCTCAGCAAACCGACAGATCCGGGAGCGTTCCAATTCACCCGAACCGGCCGATCTGAAGCGCCATGTTTCTGTGCGTGAACTCTAAATCGTCCAATGAGTTGTTAAGCTTTCCGATCGAGTTTGGTTCGATGTTGGCTTTGGCTCTGTGACGTGTTACAGAGTTGAACTCTCATTGGTATATCTTTTTTTCCCTCCCGGCTCGCCGTGGTTTCTTGTTCCTTCTTTGCCTCTCTCTCTCTCTCTCTCTCTTATCCTTCTATTGATCAGTGCTGTAGCCTTCCCCTAACACTTGATGTGATACTGTGAGGTGTGGTTTACCTGCTCGGAACGGCGGCTTCCTTAGTAAACACCTCAAGTCGTCTACATCCTGATCATATTCCTTTGATATAAGAATGATAATTCATCCTAGCCCAGAGGCGTTTTTGCTCTTCCAGGCTAAACGCAATGGGCACGGCAGGGACCATGAGAAAGATCGAAAGCAAAACCTAAGCTCAAGCCATATGCTAACACCTCGCAGGATCACGCCCTTTGACGTCTCTCCCCAAGTGAAATGACCGTAAAGTGTCCTCTGCACGGATCGCAACCGTCCCAGAGGAGGTGCCTGATCTACAACACTGGACCTGCCAGCTGAAGCCGACAACCGTCGCAGATATCATGCACAAGGCTGCAGGAACCCCCTCTCCATCTTCACAGTTTCGAAAACTAAGCTCAACCAAACCGCACGGGGAAGAGCACGCACACAGGCCACGATAGACTTTTCGGTCCACGCAGCCTGATAGTCTGCGCCTCCTGGTCCCTTGAGACTAGTTGGCTTGGGGGAGCACCCAACACACAAGCGTCGTGTCTTAGTAGTCCCTTGATTTCAGTTTCTTTGCTCGAAACGAAGCCCTCGATTATGCGATTGGGACAAGGCTTCTGAAGTTAATCTCTCTTGAAACTTTTCCAGAGACCAGAACGCTTTGGGGACATTGTCATACCAAGGTTCGTTCGTCTTAGGGGCGCGGGCTGTCTGAGCTCCGAAAGCTTTTTCTCCCTTTCCTATCGCTTTCTTGTGGTTTGGTTTTTTTCCTTCTCTTTTTCTTTCCTTCCCCTTCATTGCCGAATGCTAACCATCTCGTTGGTGTACTGATATAGACTTTACCCCTTACGTCTCGGAGCGCGCGGCTTCGTTGGCCATAACATTTTCGTGTTGGTGATGAGTGGTTACTTGGAGGCTAAGTTTCACCCTGGTTGTGACGACGAGTGTGCTCTTGTAGCCTGTGATTATACTACTACCTACTGCCTTCTTCCCTCTTGCTCATACATGAATAACGATATTATTGATTTGGCGTTATAGCTCTCTACCTGGCTCAAATCGTTCTACCGTCTATTAAAGTTCGATTTTGCTGTCTCAAGTCGGGTCGGTGCTTCTACCAGTGTGCCTCGATCACTCCCCCCCTTTCCACGTAATTATGTTATTTCATCTCTCTCTTGGGTCTCAACAAAGCACCAGATGATGACAATCTTCAATGGCCGTTCACTAAGTAGTCTCTCAGCCAGCGCACTTGGTCACAGTCATTATCCGAGCGTATCTCATCCTCTCCCCATTACTTGGGTATAAAGGATGTTCCCCTCCCAATGGAGCCCATGGCTGCTCACTCCACGATATCTGTACACACTCCATTGATCATAGTAAAAGTAAACACTAATACTTTACCACCACCACCACCACCACTATTCATGCTGCTGTTGCTACTACAACATGCCCAACATGAACCAAGACTTATGGTGGTCCTCATCCCCCAGTGCCACAGGCTGGTCCTCCCAGTTACACCCTCTCTCCGAATTACCCGACATGCCCGTCCCCAGACCCACAGAGGACATACACATCGCCCTGCTAGGTGCACAAGACACAGGAAAGACGAAGCTGCAGCTACGCTACACCCTCCGGCAGTTCGTCGGCGTGGAAGGAACTCAAATGGCGTGTCTGCTGGGCGGTCGCAAGCACGTCAGCCTCGCTGATGGGACGGACGTACACCTCGTCCTACACGAGTTGCTTCCCTTCCGAGGAGAACGACGACAACGAGGAGGACGAGGTAGAACGACGGATGCGAGGCTGTTGGAGCAGGTGGACGCGGTGATGCTCATTTTCGATCCTTCGTCTAGGGCGTCGTTTGAGTGGATCGTTGACGGGTGGGCTCGCGAGGATGCGGTGCGCTTGGGCAACAAACAACAGGTCATTTACGATGACGCCGTCGGACAACTTGCTGATGAGTCGCGTCCTGCGGTGATGCTGGACTCCTTCTCCAAGACATTGCCAACCCCGCCTGATGATGACGCTGGGGGAAAGTACAGAGCCGACGAAGTTGAGAAAACCGTGAAGCATGACAGCGTCATGGCCTCGCAGTCTACCTCGAGAAGCTCGAGCATATACAGCCAGACAACACCCCCTGTCCCCGTTACCACGGTCGACACACAGCGTGAGCTCGAAGTTGCTTATACACTTACGAAGCTCACGAACCCAGACGATGGCGACGATAACAATACCAGCAGCCGAGACCCAACTATTCCTTGGAGTGATAGTATACCGCTCCAACCACACCAGGTATCTGAGCTGCCAGTGCTGGTCATCGCCACCCAGGCCGACAAACTGAAAGACCACGGCGGGCCGCTGGAGAGACAGGTCACGGCAGAAGAAGCCCAGAGGCTAGCTCACAGCTTGGGCCCCAGTGGCTGCGGCGGCGACGCATACATCGAGGTCTCGGCCAAGACGGGCGCCAACATCGACGAGGCGTATGGGCTCATCGTCGAGAGGGTCCTGGCGAAGCGTCGGGAGCGCCAGGAAGCTGCTGCTGCTGCTGCTGCTGCCACTACCAACCACGCCGCTGGTCTTGGGGATGTACAGGCGAAGGAGGAAGGACGGCATATGGGGGTGGCGGGTGTGCAAAAAAGGACCAAGGCTAAAAGGAGGTCGTGCGTGCCGCCTTGCTGGGCTGAAAGGTGGCGTGGTGTGGTGGCTGGCTTGCCGTCGTGGCGGAACGTCTCGGGGGTGCTGTCGAGGCTGTTCACGACAGGCGGCGCTGGTGCTGGGTTGGGTGATGTTCATGTCGACGTGTCAAGGGTTGAGGACGTGTGGTGGGATAAGAAAACCACAGTGAGAAGTCCCAGGAGGATACATCTGTCCAGGGACAATTCTGGTCGCTTGAGGAGCAGATACGAGTCCGAGCTGCCTCTGGCGCCACCGCGGCGGGGCATGTCTCTCGAGAGGAGGCATAAGAGGGCGAGCACAATGCTCAGCGCACGGAGCATACCACATGAGCCTGCGAAGAGCAACCCTCCTCCTCCTCCTCCTCGTCGTCGTCCCGATGCTATCACCAAGTCGACAGAACTAGAAAGGCTCGAGGAAGCGAGAAAAGACAGCCTCACAATCCCACCAGCACTCCTCCAGATGCCGACGGCCCTGGAGAGAAGGGAGCAGCCCGCTTTCCTCGCGAGCCCGCTGCGTGGTCCTTCCAACGCGTCTGCAGGTGGCGGCCTGGGCCGCCTGGCCAGGAGCTCGCTTGCCCTCCGCAGGGCAGCCAGGCTGATGGAGGCCAAGCCCAGGTTCACCATGATCGACATACCCGTCGTCAAAAACACCGACAACACCAAGTGTGCAGTTCGCGGCACCACCACAGTGATCCAGCTCCCAGAGTCGCCCTTGTCCTCGCATCCTCTGCCTCCTCCTCTCCCTCAGTATGCCCCTCGCCATTTTCAGACGAACAAACACCGCAGCGGCGGACGACAAGTACCACTCTCCCACCAGAACAGTCATGAGTCCACACCGCGTTTCCTCTTAGAGCCCGCCGCCGCCATAGTCTCGTGGCTTGACTGCCTGCGAGAAAGTAGCTTCATAGAGCAACTGTCACCGTCGGCCTCGACAGTGGTGGCGAGTTCGCAACAGACAGGCAGGCGGCCCATGTCGGCTTGGATATGATCCTCTCACGATGGTCTTTGGCTCGAGCAGTGAGAGGTAGACAGGGAGGGGGGGAGGAAGGGGTGGGAGCTTGGGATGATTTCAAGAAAGACTGTGGTCTTAGAAAGTAGAACGAGTGAATGAGCACAAATGTGCGCGATGATAATAATGCTGTTCTTGTTACAGTTGGAAATTCTCTAGACATTGCGATGCAATGAAATTTAATTCTTATGGATTCAGTATTCGGATTTGTTATCATTATGGTCATTTGTATTGCTCCCATCACCTCGATTTGTTGTCCCTTTACTTCGTTTTCTCTTTCTTGTCCCGGAAATCTCCCCCTCTGGGTCCCTTGTTGAGAACAAGCAGACATCTACTTTGTACGCATCGAGCATGCTACCCTCTAGAAAGCTGCATCAACAATAGTAAATAAAATATCTCATATCTCATGAAAGCAAGGCAAGTGGTTTGTCTCATGATCATATGATACTAGCATATAAAAAACACATCTACTTCACAAATAGAGACTTCTTTGTCACGTTGATCCCAGGCATCACTTCCGTCCGTCCGTCAACATCACCGGCATCTATCTAACCGCACGAATCAACCACATCTATACACGAGGCCACCCTCTTTCCAGTCCAACAGTCACCGCTCTTTTCACCCAAGCGAGAACACGCACATGTGCCAAAAAAAAAAAAAAAAAGCATCAGCAGAACAAACTTTCTTCCCCCTCGCCATCTATTTTTCCCTTCTTAGCATCCATCAGCGCGGGGGCCAAACCTACTTCAAGCGAACCAATAACTACGGCGCTGTCTCAAGCCCTAACCAGAGTTCAGCCCTACAGGGCTTTGATAGGGTGCTGACAGGATGCGTCGGCCCCGGGACGGGGAGCGAGCGAGCGAGCCCCGAAGAGAGAGAGAGAGAGAGAGATACAGAGAAAAATAGAGGAAAACAGGGGGAAAGAAGAAGATGATGGTGTGAAAATTGCGTCTCTCTCTGCATATGGGCCCCTCTTTTTTCCTAATTCTCTTATGAACAGGAGATTGACAGGGAGGACAAGAAAGGAAAGGAAGGATGGTGTGATCTGCGAGGATCCCCCAAAGAGAGGCGACAGCGAGGAGGGTCGCAGCTCGCTCAGCTTTGGGACCAGCGCATACGCTGCCATGCATTTTAAGCGAGGATTCATTTGGAAGGGGCCTGGGCAGGTTGTGTGGGGGGGGGGGGGGGGGTGACAAAGTTCAGGCAGAATTGCATCCGGCTGCGTACATATTAGTTCTTCCTCACTTATCCCGAAGAAGAAAACACCATGCGCTGGGAAAGGGGGGAAGGAGCCTGTTCGCCGACAAGGAGGATTGTAGTCGCCGTCTGCCTTGCGTGTGCAGTGATGAATTTACAACTACAGTGACGGCCGCGACCGGACCCCTTTCATCATATCAAACATGCGGTGCTACAGTGTATTGCTGCTCATGCCGACCCCGATCGGGACAGGATGGGCTTCGGCTTCCCCTCTCGAGATAGAGGAAAGAAGAAGAAATAATTCATTATCGTCACAATTGATAAAGAAAGTGGAGATGGGAGGGCAGCCCTGACCGCCTTCACACAGGGGACGAGGATCCTCGGGCACATGCGACTCGACGCCGAGTGCCTTGTTGTGCAATGAATATCGATGCTGTGCGACGTTCTACGTATGATCCATTTCCTGAAGGGGTCGAGGTGGTGGTGTTGAGCGGAGCTGAACACTCGCAGCTCGACGCGTTGACGGGCGGGCTGGACAAATGAACAAATGAATGTGCAACCCAACCAACCCCCAACCCTCCCCTCGCCAGGGTGACGAGGCAACGAGGATGAATAGTCGGCACCACGTCAACATGCAGCACCACGACGACGACGACCACCACCATCACATACGAGGAGAAAGAGTGCCCTCTGCATTGGTTCGGGAAATGTGACGAACTGAGACATCTGCCAGCGCTCCCCCCCGGCGCCCCCCCCCCCAAAACCTCTATGGTTTGTTGGCCTGATGAGGCATGTATCTGCACGATGTCCCTCTGGCCCTGCATCTGTGGCTGGTTCGCTCGGCCTGATCTATCCTCGAAGAGCCGTCTGGCGGTCAGGCAGAACGCTTCCACGAGCCGAAACTTGGTGCCCAATGTGGTACATTATAACGAGCGGCATTTCCGCGGCCAATTAGTACGTACATTGGGACACCAGGCAATCTGGACTAGGAGAAGGCATCTGCTCGCCCTACGGCTACACCAACCGGTCAACCGAGGGCAGCCGCCTTCTGCAGACGGCCCCCTCCACAGACCACCATGGCCAGCTCCGAGAGGCCGACCAATGGAATTGCCCGCGATGGCGTATGAGGCAGTCTGAAAGCAGGCTGGCACATCGTCGAAGCGCCGTGGCTTTTCAAGAAAATGCGATGTGTCTTTTTTCCTGGCTCTGCCTGACCAGCTGACGATAAAATAAAATGACAAAATCAAGGGAAACGAAGGGAAGAGGGTGGAGGGGTGGATAGATGTCCCGGCGAACAAGAGGAGAAGAAGGAAGGAAGAGGTTGTTCTTTGCGAGGCCCCTTCTCATTACCCCTCCAGACTGACAGGTCAATCAAATGTGTGGACTCGGCCGTGGGTGGACAGAGCGGAAAGGCTGATCCTCGCCTTTTTCCTCGTCTCCTCATCCAAGGCAAAAAAGCAACGTTGAGCGTGCTCGTGCTCAAGGACCTCACTCAGCGCGTGCAGGAGACCGACGTGATTGCATCACGAAAGGCTTGGCAAGCCACGAACCTGGCCTCTGGAGCGGCAATAGAGGGGAGATCGTTGCGACGTGGCACCAGTACTCTCTCTCTCTCTCTCTCTCTCTCTCTCTGTTTCTCTTTCATATGAAATATCGGGATGCAGTGGAGTATCGAGATACAGTGGAGGCGCCCGGGAAGGGCCTGCATGGCACCTCATAATGTTGCGCCAGCCACTTCCTCTGCGGTTGGCCCAAATGTTGGTGAAGACGTCCCAGAACAGGTATGCCGAGGGCAAGCCGTGCGCCACTTGGATGATAACCGAGGAGGGCTACCTAACCATATTTGGCGTGTGATGTGTTGACTGACGACTTTGGAAAGACTCGGGCCTGGTCCTTTTGTGAACACGAAAATGAGCAATGAAATATTGCGTCCCTTCGGGCGGAATCGTGCCATTCCGTACCGGGGGGGGGGGGGCAATCCAACCTTGATTCCGGAGTATCTCCCCGCCTACATTGTGTGTGCGGAGACACACACAAACACACACACAAACGTGCACATGTGAATGCGGCCCCAAGATTTACATGCAGTGAAGTGGAGATATTGTAGCGGAAAAGCCTCGCGGCCGGGATGTCGCCGGTGGGGGGACACGCATCTGAGACCCGGTTAAGACCATTAGCAATCATAGGCTGAACAAGAAGCAAGAATGCATGCCCTCAAATTGTCGCAATGGCTTGCCAAGATCGGCTTGGCCTGGCGCGCTTCTCTCACCGGCAGTCCAGATTCAACGTTACAGGCTGTGCTGGCTCGTCGAGCTGGTGGCACGCGAAGCAAAAGGCGGAGATTGAGAGCTGTGGTGGCTGAGCCAAGATGGGGGAGGTGAAGGTGCATGCAGGACGACGGGCAGAGGACAGAGACAAGGGACAATGGGCGCGCCTGTATGCAGCCATGCCATGCCATGCAGCTGCATGTGCAGGCGGTCGGCTATAGTGTTGCCTAACGAGGGAGCAAGTCCTGTAGGTAGTCGATATTGAGCCGCAAAAGTGACCCAGGCTGCTCTAAAAGGCCGCATCAGTTGCCAAGGACCTGCTGGGGGAGTGGGAAGACGATGTGTCAACGCTGTCATGTCGAAAAAAAAAAAAGAAGAAGAAGAAGAAGAAGAAGAAGAAGAAGAAGAAGAAGAAGAATAAAACCACATTTAGAGAGAGAGATAGGAAGGACTATATTCGATTGGCTGCACTTGGAGACGCTCGATACACCTGCATGCTGCAGATGATTTAATATAAAATAAATTAGAAAAGAGACATGCCTGAAGACGGATTAGAGGTGAAAGTTGATGAATGTTGGTAGTTCAATGGATCGCCTGATGGATTGATGATATCAGTACTGATTGAATAATGGCAGCTGTGGTCATGGTGGAAAGAACGTTTGTCGTTAAGATCCTGCTGCTGGTAGTTACAGGGCGGTGACGTGCTCTAGCAGAGCAAAGAGAGCTCCTCTAGCGGGGCAGTATAAACAGCTATGGGCAGTGGCCATAAGGGCCTACCTACCACGATAGTAGGGTAGCTCCTGGCACGGAAAGTGCCAAGATGGTGGTTGCTGCTGGTGGCCCATGCAAAACGGTTGACAGGTCTCCGTTTTCTCATCGCACCTGCCAGTTAGTTGGTTGGAAGCAAAGTACATAGTACAGTACATCAATACCCTGGGTGGTACTTGGCTACTTTTGGAGAATACCTGCGCTACCTTAGTGAAAAAAGTGACATAGTACTTGGCTACAAGGCTACAAGGCTACATCGCTACTTCTGGTGATCTTGCGACTTCTGCTGCACTGCTGCCTGGAGGACGGCATGAGTGTGCGAGGCAGGTGCTTCACCAGGGGTGGGTGTTCTCCACAATTGAGGCTCTGGTTCTGGGGCAACCCCGCCCCAGTGCTCCCTTGTCCTTCCGCCCTTCCACCTTTTACCACACTATCTGTAGCAGCTCTTTCCGCTCTTTCTAGGCGGGGTTGATATTGTCCTCACTGCGAAATAGCGGTGCGGTCTCTCCCTCCACAACTGCCACAACGCTGCAACCATTGCTACCGCCCGCTGCCACACGACCTGACAACGCAACAGACATACACACACACACTTTTCTTGCTCTCGCCGCTGCGACGTTGTTTCACCGCGCTGGGCCCAACAAAGTCTGTCTGCCTTGCCTCGTCCCTCCCTTTCTTCTCTCGTCCCATCTCCTCCTGCCACCCAACATCCCTGGCACTGGAACCAACCTCGACCCGCTTTGAAGATCCAATGTTCCACCGGGGACTGCACTGTGACGGCAGCGTTGGTCACGTTCTCGGTCGAGAACTTCTCAACCTGCGATTCCAAATACACAAGTACCTTTTTTCTGCACCTGTCCAACCAGAGCCTGGCAGGGAGATGCGGGTCCATCCCATCCCATTCCATCCATCCATCCGTCCGTTCCTCATGACCACGAGAGATG